GTGATCACCGAAACGATGTGAGAAGTATTGAGCAACACTGAAATTTGTCCCGTACATAAAACGTTTGCGGTTACAGGCGGAAAAAGCTGAAGATTTTTGCGCGTTGGCCAGCGTTAGCCCTCCTCAGCGGCTGTGCAGGGCTCATCGTTCAAGTTGTCATCGTCGTGCAGGAAATCATGGCACAGGTACTGTGCATCTTGGCTGATATCAGGTTGTTGCCATCAACTTCTTAACTGAAATATTGGATCTCGAGCAAACAAGAATCGGTATTAACGAAGTAGTGCAACGAACGGTAAAATCCAAATGACACTACATATCGTGGTGTGTTCCCGTCACGAGTGTTTTAACGTTGGCACTGCCGTATGAGGCAACTCTTCGCTAGACTGATCCTTCAAATAAATGAAGAAGCGCCAGCACTTGACACAAATGAATGCATTAGAAGACGCGGGTTAGAAAACAATAGTGGTCGGACAGAATGCAACGGGCAGCATCATCAGTGTTGTATGTACTACAGAAACAGCATGAAATTCTAGCCTGCTTGGTTGGTTGGTCTTTGTGGAGCGCATTGTTCAATCCCAATAGAAGCTAAATTCTTGCAGGCATTGCCCATTTGTGTTTGCTTTCTTTGTACCTTGTCGCGTGCTCGATTGTTTGTGGGCGTGCAATTCCTGCAGGAAGGCCACGTCTTGCCCTGTGTCGTTGTCCTTTACCTGAACCCTGTGGTGATCGGATTTTACGCGTTGCCGTACCTCTTGAGAGGTTTCAGGGCCGTCGTCCTCTCCGAAAAAGGTTTGAACCTCTGACAACGATGAGTAAGGCTGATAGTGCTCACGAAAACAAGGAGGTCGAGACCACATCGATTGACATACGAATGGACCTTCAGCTACACAACGAGTCCCCGCCAATAGTAGAAGGGAAAAAGTATGCTTCCGTTTCTCGCGGATCGGGCATCCTCCACTAGGTGCGGGCCTACTGCAACGTCCTTGCACCCCTGTTGTCCAACTGACTGTGAGCGTTCGCAGTCCCACTTGAAGTGTCATATGATCAACGACTGCTCAACTCGACCTCTCAATCGGTTTGAAAAACAGAGTGTACACGATGTCTTGCTTATAACGTAGGACGGGCGATGGCTGAAGCACTTCGACATATTTTTCAGCTGTACTGATATAACAGATGCCTTGCGGCATGCTCGAAGTGTTTACGCCGTACTACATGAAGACTAATCCATGCAGTGGGACGTGAGTTTCCGCCGTCACAGGCTTGGACTACGCCCAACAGTCCGCACTCGAACGCCTCTACTCCTCGCAACACAACTTCCCGACATCCCAGAACCGTTCGAACAAGAGAACAATCAATCAAGCGGCCGTTCTTTCATCGAAACGAAAGTCTGCACCAGAACCAACCCATCAGAGGAGTACCGCAAACGTCGGGAGGCTTGAGGCGCGAAGAGTAGATTTGAGTAAGCGTCTCCTATCTTCGAGAATGATCCAATAGTCGAGGCCGGTCTGAAAACAAGACCGATTCCGATGCTTGTGCTGTCCTTGTCGGGTTCGCGTTCGAAAACGGTTCCACCCAGCCGTGCCGAGGAGAAGCGTTTAAACCATTGGCACGTTATTATACCTTCACGGCGCAAGCAAACCGTGCTGAAGCCCAGGAATGTCTTTCTCCCTCGTCATGCTCCCTTCCGTCTTGCATCCTTGCAAAGAGTATGTTGCACGCAATGGCGTGTCTGCCAGCCTCGAAATTTCTGGAGAATGTCAATCGAAGGAGTTGTTGAGATTCGGGAGACCAGTCTTAGTTGGAGGAAGAATACGTTATCCCCTGAGAGCCACTTCATCTTGTCTGTGACTCTCCCCAACCCCCTTTGTGTATCGCTTCCCATGTTGACGGTGCTGGGGGACTCACAGCGTGGAGAAAGAAGTACATGTTCTTCCTTTCTCGGAACAGCATCACAATTTTGATGGGGACGGTTTTCATAATGTTGCTAGGCATCTGTGCCATGCTTCAGCGCGTCGCACCCCAGGTTTATGGGTGAGACGGATGGATGAATGGATGGGTTCGATGCTTGACAAATGAGTGATCACAAGATGTGCTCTGATTTGAAGTCCTCGGCCTCGTTGGTGGTTGCAGCATGCATCGTGTCCACAAAGGTTGTCCACATTACTGTAGTTTCAAAGTACTCGAGTAGAAAATGCTGCGTTTAGCGCCAAGTGATACCAGTAGCTTGAGTGCCTGCGTGCCACCGCAACACATTTTCCGAGGAGGGGGTGCGGAAATGCACCACCTTTTCGCGTCATATCCAAGCCCTCGGTTTTGCCGGCAAACGTTCACCGCCGCTCGACAGGGAAAACCCTACCGAGGACTGCATGTATCTTGGAGACTGGTGGTTCTGGTGCCCTTCGTGCTTCCTCATGATACTGTCGGGGTCGAGGCTATTCGCAGAGATTTTGCGTCTGCACGACAGGATCAGTATGGCCAAGGAAATTTCCACGACTGCTCGCGTGTGGTTTGTTTTTGCTGGTGAGTGCCTAGACCGTGGTATGCATTATGTATGCAAAGTAGATTTGCCGAGAGAGGTCTATCGAACGAAATAACCGGTTACCTTGGTATCAATGGCTTTCCCACGACCAGACAAGTTATCCTGGCGACACCATGGATGTAACGGCTTTCAGTTGGTTACTGACAACGCAATCATACTTCAAGGTGATATTCGCAGATTGTGTCGTGGGAATCCCTCTCTTCATCATCCTTGGCTTGTGATTTGTATTTTTCTGAAAAAGGGTATCACCATCCGAACGAAGCAACATCTCCGCCATATATATCCGGTCGCCCCGGTGGTCTAGTTGGTATCCTCGAAACCTTCTATAATAGAGGTCAGGTCAGGGGTTCGAATCCCGGCATAAGCCAGCTTTTCTTGCAAAGTGAGTTTTTCTGTCGCTTCCGCTCCTGGTCTAGTGGATAGCGCTAGTTCGTGTGTACACAGAGGGAAGAGAGTGCTGAACTCTTGTCGCATTAAAAATCGAAGGCAACGCACCACAGGAGGGGAGGGTAGAGAGGGGCTCTTCTGTATGACCACGCGTTGGAGTAAAAGGCACTAGTGCTGTGAGCGCTGATTTGCAGTGAAAAAAAAAAAAAGTACCCTTGATCATACCTGTTTTATTCAACCTGTGGGTGTACCAATGACCCCTGTCGACGTATACCGGTCGTTGGGCAGAAGACAGAACGTGTACAAGGTGAACACAACACCTACAGCGCACCAATGGAAATGAGAAGAACAAGACAGCATACTCGATGAAATTGATGGCCTGACTCCGTGCAATACCCACTACAGCTGGAGCTTCGAAGCACCGATAGATGTTGCGTGCTCGAATGAACCTGCCAGCTCCCAAGGATTTGTTCCTCTTTCCACGCACAAGAAAAGTTAAGTCGTGTGTACAACTCCCTAGGAGGCATCCTCTCCGCCAAATGGTCGTTACTCTTCAAAGTTCATGAAAGATATTTACTTTCTCACTGTTCGCTAGCCCCCGAGGTGCTAACCGCATACGAGTACGATTGGCGAGAGACCAGGTATCGGAGCCGTCAACCACCGATAAAAATTCTTGCCCTGCTTGAAGTCGCCGCAAGCTTCATTTAGCCTTTGTTCATGCAGGAATTGTCCGACAGCCTTGAGTGTGTCCCAAAACCCAGCCTTTTCTGAAAAAATCAAAGGCTTCCAACTAACCTCTCCCCCCCCCCCCCCTCCCGCGTGCCTCCCTCCATCGGTTTGAATCACAAACACTTGTCGCAGTGCCCTACCATTCCATCATCGTTCTCAACGCGTTCGACGTGGTGGACATGCCGAGGCAACTTTCTTTTGTTCTGTGGCTGTGTATAGCCCTGACACAAATATCCACGTGAGTTACAATAAAGTGGGTTCCTGGGAGTGGAGCTCGAGGCAGATCTTTCTGTGGTCGTTACTTACCCCGGCTTCCAAACTTGGAGATGGCGCGCGACAAGGCGTCTTTATTGGCCGCCATCTCTTTTACAACATCCACACCTACGATCTATTTATTGAAACTGCGACAGGGAGAGGGTTCGACAGTGTCTACCTGTGTTGGGGCATGAAGTGTTATATCGACCGTGTCTCGTCTGGCATCTAGAGAATGGATGTTTTCCAGAAAAACCTCAAGGGTAGTTAATTGACGTGTATCTCGTGTCCAGACGAATGAACACGTCCTATGCGCTCATGCACATAGGATTCGCGAGTATACGTGAACTTGCGTTTTGCGCGGTCCCCCTCAACAGCGCGAAGGCCCCGAAGGAGATCGAACGACAGGATCCAGTCCCTGGATTCATGGTGATTGTGGATGGATGACAACACCAACTTTTCTCCAGCGTCCTCTAGTTTGGTCCTCCATAACCGCAGCTGATAACCGTATCTGACTTCTATTTCTTCATTAGGGTGGGCACCACAGACCCTCAGCAATGCTCTCCCTACGATTGTTTCTGGACCTTTCTCCACTCCCATTGCTCTAAATGTCTGTCCCTACGGCTTGTAGTCGTTCGGTTGTTTGGACGGTAGACGGATCGAAGGATATTTCTCTTTATCATCGGGCCCACCTTTTCTAGACCTTTTTGGAATAATCACTTCATCATCCTTGAGGGCCAACCGAAAGAATTTTTGCCGTTCACAACAGACACTTGTTTGGTCAGGTTGGATGAAGTCCACGTGTGACTTGAGTTGTCTGACAAATGAACTACCCGGTGTTTTTGGGTCGGTGTGGATTTGAGCGCCGGGACCTGAGTCGGCGGTCTACGAAGTCCACCACTAATCTCGAAACCGGAAGTCAATTATTAGTTTGCTGAACGCTGTGGTTTGCGATTCGCTGCTCTTGGGAGCAAAACTGCTGTTCCCCAGAAATGACTCCACACACTATAAAAGGAAATCCCAATCACGAATGACCGAGACACCAACATAAGCGACGACTTGCCGAGCGTGTCTCGTAAACATCCACAGATTCATGATAGAGCCGCGGCGAAAGCACGGCGAGTTGTCCTGTTGCAAACGTCTGAAGAAGACTAGGATCTGTGTTGATGATGCCAGTACCAACGCTTGGAGAGAGACCTGGCACGACTCGAAGGTAACGGGATAAACGTGACAAAGAAGGATTGCCGAGCTACATTCAGGAAGAGATGGGTCATGGTTTAGGAGACATGTTCCGCGAGAGAGTCCGAAACGCGCTATGGTTGCATTACTCCCCTCGTCGCTAGGAAAGAAGTTGGATGCATGGAATCAACAATACCTCTTGTGCGGCACCTCTCCCATACGCGGTTTCGTCAGTTTTGGTGAAGATATCCAAGATTCACAACTATCGTAGGGAAGGCAGATCAAGATATGAATAATGCAGTGAAGAGCCCAATCACCCTATCCGGATTCAGCATGGACCGAGCACAAAACTACTCGAAAAAGCATGTGCTAGCTGATAGCCAAAATCTAACATCGTAAGTACGCTTGCCGTTCTATTTGGGAACGACTTGGAACCTGACACTTTCGGTATGCATCCATCGCCTGGTAGGTCATAATGAGCAACCCGATTCTGGACCAAGCGTTCGAGAAGCACGTCCAGGACTACCTGTGCTCAGAGTCCTATGACTTCGTCAAGGAGGTCGGTGCAACCAAGCCACGATTGTACGAACTACAGTAGCGTGTTTAGAGACGGACGTTGTTCGGAGATCAAGTCATTCCGGCGCGGTGGATATTTTTCATGCTTTGTTGCAAACATTTTGCGGAAGCCACCTTTCGAGTCATTGCTGTAAGAAATACACCGATGAACCCATTCCTGTCACACTCTTGGACATGACAACAGTTTTCCAAAACAAAATGATTCGTCCTGTCCGCTTCATTGAGGTTACGTTTTACCAACGCGAGTGAGTGTCCATTGCTGTCATGTTATGGTCTTTGCTGCAACACAATAATATTACGTTTTTGTCTCGAATTGAGTCGTTATTTTCTGTTTCTAGATCACACGTTGGGGAGAGAGAAACACACACACCGTTTCATTGGCTGCAAGGCACTGCGCATAAATCTTACGAAACCCAAATATTTCCAGCCGGAGGCTGCTACAATACTGCAAACAAACGCAGAGTCCCGAAACTAACCAAGTCCCCAAGGTACACCGTTCGACTACTGTACACCCACCAACTAGAAACCGAATAGTCCCAAACTTGTGTTTCCCCACCGTCAACAAAAAAGGGATTGGAGGGCTGAAATTGCTAGGCTGTCGCTACAGTAGTCTGCTGCCACGTACTCTACGTAGGGCGGCCACGCTGCTGCTGTCCTTCCGCCTCTTCACTTGCTCCTCAGCTTCCGTTCTTCCTCTAACACGACTTGCTACAGATGCAACGAGTCCTCCACGGAATGACAGCAATGATACGGAGGATATTTTCCTTTGGTGATCCCAGGTTTCCAAAAGTTATGGAGGCATACTTACTTCCGGGTCGCAAAAAATGTCAGGTTCTTCAACTCCTTCTCTCCTTCTGTTCGACGAAGAAAATAATCTTTCATTGCCACAGAAGTGCTGATTCATGCTTTTATATTTTGTACGTAAGACACAATACCACCGCGACTGATGCCACAGGTGGAGCGATACGTTACACACGCAGAGAATGAATCAGCTGCAGAACTGTTCGTCCACTTCCGAAGAATCGTCGACAAGTACATTGTCTCGGGGTCGGAGCTGGAACTGAACATCGAGAACGCCATGCGAAATAAAGTGCTCGAGGTTTGTGATGACGTTCGCACTTTGAGCCTCCCTCTCTCCGAAGTTTAGCGACTTCCACTGGTCTGTAGAACGAAACTCCATGTGCCTAGGAGTACGTAAGAATATGGGGGTCGAGCGGGAGTTGACGCTGATGTGCCTCAGGAATCGTCAACTCGAAGACGCCATAAGTCAAGTTGGATCGTTGTGTAGAGGCTGGTATGGCCTACGCCAATCTTGTTCCCGCTTCCCCGACGAGAAAGGCGCATAGTGTAGAAGGAAAGCTTCGGTTCCGGGTGTGGGGTATGAGATGGCAAAGGGGCATCTGCAAGCTCCCGCAGAGATTACCATGATGCTCAAAGAAAGGCGAACTCGTCTGATTTTGTTCTGATTCATATCCGTTGCCCCGCTGGTTTCCGTTCCGGCACACACGGCTGTGCGTCAACAATCTTACGTGTGGGTCTTGTCGTATGGGACGTACATGCAGACCCTCCTCGAACGCCCCGAAGTTGCCACGGATTTGACCGTCTCACTTCCTGTCCCCCGATGCCAACCCTTGCTTCTGAAAGATCGGGGAAAGGATGATATTTGTGGAGGCTGGGATGGAACGGCAGAGAGGTATCTTCAACCCTCCGAAGGAAGAAGCGCACAAGATTCTCGATGACAATCTCCTCCAGTCGTTTTTGACCAGCCGGAATTTTCTCGACGCCTGCCTACGTTGGCAGGAAGTGCAAGCCGCAGGTAACGATGACTATATTATGATATCTCTTTGCTGCACCTAATAGTCTGGAGGATATCTGTCCCTTGATTGCAGAGTGTGGATGCATGCAACGGTTTACTTTGGCGATCTGCATCGTAGCGCGCTTAGGATTTTCTGGGTCCGTGTTTCATTTCCGGTGTACCCTTTTCGAGGTAGTTGGCCTGTCACCACTGAAAGGGTCTGCGTCAATTGGACCGTATGGATGTTTTGACGGTACGGAGCAATACGGAACCTGTCGACCGAAGTCGTGTTGTCGAACATGTTCATTTGCCATGAACGTGGCAGCCGGCGTTAGCGGACGTGCCCTCCGCCGACAGCCATACCGTTGCCACCGTTTTGAGCCCAACCCGCAGAGTTCCGTGATCCGGTGTCCACGATCAACTAGTTTCATATATGCTGCAGACCGAGACAACTCATTCCAGAACAACCTAAGCGAACACGGTTTTCTAATTTTGTTACTTCATTCAAATGTCTTCTCGCCCCTCTTCGTGACGAGGATAGCGGCATCCGCGCCCGACACGATAAGCCTACTTGGCCGGAATAGCCACCAGGGTTCGTTTGGCGGGCTTTCACGTTCGTTCGCTCGTGTACACGGCGTAATGAGTAGGGAGGTTGGCCGCTCGAGGAAAAGCAGCATCGGGCGAAGACCAACAGAAAAGGGGGGGTCTACCATTCGGGAAGAGATTACGAGAGTTGGGCCGCGTATGGATGAGCACGCGACGCACTCTTTGTGTCCTGTCCATGGGGAGGAGAAGAGAAGTGCCGCCGAGAACAAATAGAGCTCTAGAGAAAAGCTGCAGTATGTTCAACGAGCAGGAGCGCCAACCAGACAGCGTTGCAACGAGATCGTCAGGATTCGCCTGTAGCAAATCGATATCTGTCAACGTTGGGATAGGCTGCAATACATTGCTGAGGTACGCTTGGCGATGGTTCGCGTAACCTTGTACAGCGCATTCTACTGTGGTGGCATGATCATTTATTGGTGTCGTTGCGACCGGACAACGATATCGTCTGGCGCTGTTGCGCGACTCTCTGTAGTCGGTGCGGAGGTGGTTGTTGTGTTTGAATGTTTTATGTTTGTGTACTAGTTCGAACTGGCAGCGAAGCTTGCCTCAGCCAAGCGTGCTATTTTAGCGTGTTTATGGAGACGACAGAAAGGAGCTGACAGATGACACCGAGAAACATCTTCAGCCAAAGGGCTAAAACCGCGCGCACATGGAGGCAGGCTGGGCGAAGTTGTGGGTCCTGAGATATCGCCGCGCCGTGCGTAAACAACGTGTACTCCCTAAATCTAGCACACGCCGTGTCTACTTGCGCTTGCCTTCAAGTGCACTGGTCGCTCGTAAGGCTAGTCAAAAGACAATCCGTTGTGAAGTTGCACCAATTAATTGTCGATTGGCCTTTTGGTCAAAAGCTACCACAAGTTTGTCGATGGATACCGCATCAAACACACTTGCTAGCCGGAATCATGTTTTCGGCGGGGGCAGACAGCCGGCTGCATAGTTCTTCCGTTCAGACGCAGCAAGCAGCCCACGCCGCCGTTCGATCATGTCGGTACAGATCATTGTGGGAACTCGGCGTTGACAAAATCAAGCTGATGGCCGTTTTCGTCGCACACCGTTGTGATGCCCGGATGAAACCCACACTGCAAAAACCTCGTTCATAAGTGGCAGTGGCTCTCGGCAGCAGACAGGAACCAAGAACTCGAGCCTCGCGAAAAGTAACAATTTCTTCTGATGCACGTGACGCATATTTTCTCTGTGTATCATTGGGTTCATTAAGTACATTCTTCTCTCGGTGGACAGCCACACGAGCGGACACCTTTTCTTCTTCGCGTGGAACTGGGCCTATCCCCCCTTAAGTTGAGTTCAACTGAAAAGTTGCGTTTGCAACGCCCAGTGGAAACGAGAGACCACCTAAAAACACAACGAAAACCTCTCACTGGACCAGCACGGTTGCCCGAGGCAAGCTGCGATATCAATACATTGTTCTGATGCACGTGACGCATTCTGCTTGTGTCCTCCGTGCAGCAAACAAGCACTCGGTCCCATTGTTGTTTTGACAGGGACACTACTGCTCGGGAGTTGATATCTCTTCGCCCAGCCGCTTAAACCCACACCATCGTATCACCGCCTCGCAGTCGTCCGTGCGGCATCGGTGCCTTGGCACTGCGGTAAAGTACCAAGTAGGCGTTAAGCGATCGTGTGTCAACCGCGTCGTGCGAGACAGCCCCAGCGGTCCCCTCACGTCATCCATCATTCATGTCTGTTTTCGCGCGTGGTGCGTCAAACAGGCGTCCAATTCTCTTGGCCGCCTTGTCACACTCTCTCTCGAACAAGGACGCGCCGCTTATCCCGTCGTCACACCACCATAACCCCTCCCCCACCACTCCCTCCTGCCCGACTTCCCCCTTGGCCTCGCGGGGACTCTTTACCTTGGCGTCGTTCGTCCCGTCGCTGTCGTGGCCCGGGAGGCGTCCGATCCACGTCTCCCCCTCAGACCCTTGCCCCAGAAGCATTGCTGTCGGGGGGGTGGCGGTTGTTGGGCGAGGGGAGGTGGGGTGTCGATTTCCAGGGGAAGGTACTGCGGAAGTGGTGTACGGCGGGGAGGAAAGTTCTACATTCCCATCTAAACCCCAAATGTTGTACCAAGTACTTAAGTGTGACGTTCGGTCTTTGCCTCACAGATGACGTTCGTCATTCGGAGGGGTCGGGCTGGTCAAGCCGACACCCGATCAGTCCTCTTTTCCACACGAACACTGTACCGCCACAGTTCAGTGAGTACATCGCTAGCTCGAGGCAGGTCTACGCTCCTCTCAACCCCGAGTGGAGGAGGAGCAACTACCTCAGCCCCTGCATGCATGTCACACTAAATAGCTCGAGACGAACCTGCACGAAAACAAACGTCCTTCAATGTGGTCGCACGCGCGAGCTCAAACTCGTCGGAGCCTACTCTACTTTTCAACAACTGTTGCTCAACACAAACGGTTGACAACTCCGACGAAACCATGTCTCGTTCGCGACAACAAACAACGAGCTAAAACACTCACTCATGGCTTGAGACAAGTCCGCAAGGCAGGCTCCAGCTTCCGGGTGCGGACCATCCCCTAGGTACAACAGCTGCGTCTGATCCACACGAAAACACGTTATGCGGAAGGCAAAGGACAGCAACAACATCAGCGTTTGTCCCCCTTTCATCCTGTCGTGATGTGATGGCGCAGCTGTCCACTTTGCTGCATTGTCTGAGCAGCTGCGAAAGCTGCATGACCGCGTCCTTCACCTCCGAACCCTGCCTGCGCTAGAAGCGAAAGTTGTAAAGTCTCCAAGGTCCTAACCCCTGGGTGACGATGTGCGCGCAAAAGAAACAAGTCCACGCACGACTTTGTAGCCCTAAGAATTCGCGAGCTCGCGTTCTAGCTGGTCTGTAAGCTAGACGTGGCTTGTAATCGGTTGGTGTCATTGGTGACAGCGGGAGATAATCTAAAGCGTTCTCCCTGCTATACATACGGACATGGATAACGAGAGATTTGAACCCGACCGGAGCCAACTGAACCTTGCTCACAATTCTCCCAGCTACGAACATGGATAAGAGACTTGAACCCGACCGGCGCCAATTGAAGCTTAACCTTGCTCACATCATGCCGGATGGATTCAGCGTAACACACACAATCATGTCAAATGACCAGCTCACAGCTCCCACACAGACGTCAACACACCACAAGACATTAGTTATCATAGGCCCATATGTTGTTCGCCGACTCTTATTCAGGTCAAAGTTGCCAAGTCGGTTGAATGCTGTCGAGCTACACAAGCAACCAAGGACAAGGTACGTTGACGAGCTCTTACCTTTCTTCTGGAAATCAGAGACGCGACAAAAACGGCCAGCAGCCGGGTCTTGAATCCCCCTTTCGTGGGGGGCAAGGTGCTTTCCAATCCGCGTCTCCCCCCGAAAGACATCGGGAGATCGTTGGAAGTCTGAAGCACTGCTTCCGCACATTCCACATCTGATTGCGCTGCCTCGGTCGAACCTACAGGAAGAGACAGTTCACGCGGCGAACGAACGTCGTTTTGGGAGAGAGATGCCGGAGTTTCATTACCGTACAGTTGGGGCCCGCGAATAAGAAACGTCAATTTCGGGTCGAGGCTCAAGGTCTTGTTTCTGGAGCAAACACCAGCATCAAGGAGTATTTTCTTATGTTGAGTTTCTTACATTGCTGGCTGTCGGATCCTCATGGTTTTCTTCGTTGCTGGCCGTTTCGTATTCTTAGGCTCTATCGTTTAGCTTCGTCTATCTGTATAACTCAGTTTGTTACCATTTGTTATGTTCTGTCCATTCTTTCACAACCAACCATATCCTCCCTGCACGCACGAACGTCTCAAAACCGACAACACGTAAGTGCGAAACATGGAAGAAATGGAAACACCTCCGGAGGTAGGTCTCGTCCAACTGGCGCTGCCAAGGTGCTTAGGTGTGCTGCCCCCCTATGCAACAACCGAAACAACACATTGTTGGGAAGAAACACGAAAAGACACGAAGCTATTTGTCATGAGCGTGTGTTTTCTTATCCGGATGTCTCTTATCTTTGCTTCCGTTTTGAGGTGTGTTGCTTAGTCACTTTTTCTTCATTTTCATGAAAACTTTAACCTATTTTTCTTCATTCGATTTTTCTTAATGGCGGGCCTCAACTGTATACGACACAAGATAACACACCCCCTGGACCGATTTTCAAAGTCCGATTCTCAACAGCTGAAAGAGTTACCGCGCCGAAAACGTGAGCCTGCTATGCTTCTCCCCTGTTCGTGCCTGCCGACGGCGGCGTTGAAACCGTCTGGTCGAGAGCTCTCCGAAAACGTATCGTTTCGTTTATGCATCTTCTTCGTCGAAGAGTAATCGAGCTTTGAAAACCGGTCCAGGGGTTGTGTTATCTTGTGTCGTATACGGTACCATAGTAACAGGTGGTCAGCAAAGAACCCTACACTAAAACCGATATTGGGTATCCCACATAGAGCAAACAAGAAACAAGTCTCCGGCACATCAAGACTTATCCGAAGTGTGGGCGCGTTCTGCTCGTGCAAACAATTTTTCATGAGGCATGCGTCCGGCCGTCCGTCAAGCGGACCCGGAACTCGCGAAGAGGCGACTTTTTCCAATACTGAGCACGAAATTTCGGAACAAACGCACCTCGGCGGGATTCGGAGTCCCATCCCAGCCACAACGTGGTAAGTTATCGTGTCCCTAGATTTTCGCAGCATGCATCCTACTAGCCCAGCAAGAGAAGAAAACAAAGAAACCTTGGCAAGAATATTGTGCTCGGGAAACGAATCACCTTGGAGGATGGCGATGCAAGCCTTGGCGATGAGCTTGTCGGCACGCGCTAGGGAGATATGCCGACCCGAAAGCCACCGGCTCGCCTGTCTTCGGTAGCCCAATACCTCTGACAGCACTCCGGGCCATTTCACCTGCGCGGGGTGGGTTTGGGATTTGATTATGACACCCGATACGAGAGAAGACATAGGTGGCTTTGATGATGACACCAACTTGTTGACAGGGTCAGGCTGACTACGGGATTCATGATCAAGTGCTAGGCATGGGGTAGATGACGCCACCAGCTAGTTGACAGGGAAATATTGGGCCAGACCTATGTAGTGGTATGAGGTCGGTGGTGAATTTTTAGGCATGGGAAAGTCGATGACACCAATTAGTTTACGGGGAGATGGGGTCAGACTGACTACGAGGTTGATTATCAACGCGCCAGGCATGTGGTATGGCAATGACGAAAGGATGTGTGTGGGGTTCATCATGGCACCGGGCGTGTGACAGGAAACTAGGGTTTGGTGATGGCAACAGATGATGCGGATGGCACCAATAACATGAGCGGGAAGGGACTGAGAAGAAAAACGAGGATCTGGCAAAAGGCGTCCGACGATCCCTGTCGTCTCCCACACTAGTCTAGAGCCAAAGACAGACGGTGCTTGGCGACTGCATTGTTAAAATCTAACGTCTACGACAAGTGCCCTCGACGAAAGGTAGCCTAACCGTCCTTGTTTCTCTGAGAACCAACGTTCATGCACAGGGGGCGTAGGCGGTCTCCCGATGATGGCTTGGTGTTGGAAGTATGCACCTCTTTCGCCCTCGATAGGTCAACGACGCTCTCCGCCGCCTCAAGCCTCCTCTCCAGAACGTTCCTAGCGACCAGACCTGCACCAAAATGCATATTCAAATGGAATAGGTCATGACCAGGTAGGTTGGTGAAGCCGTCAGCAAAAACAGAAGCGTAACACGTGGAGTGACCAACTCTCAATGAGGTCGGAACGCGCGGTCCTCTGGCGGTGTGCATGCGGCCCACCAAATCGATGCGCTAGGGCACGCCATGTAGTTGACGGATAGAAACGATCTGCGAAAACAATTCCACCAACGGCCTATGTTGGCCGAACGAGCGGTGGAGTTGTTCCTTCCTCGCCCGTTTTCGCGAATTGGGGGCAAGCGGAGTTAGGTTCAGCGCTCGAAAACGCCGACCTCGCGTACATGGATGGTACGCGTCCACCCACACACCGGTGTTCCGCAATGGCACTATACCGGGCGTGTCGGGGGGTCCGTTGTCCGGCAACGAACTATGGCTCCGAGAGTCATGGTCGATAGAGTGCAACCCTCAAGCATCACCTCCGCGATCCTCTTCTTCTTCCTCTTCCCCGCTTCCTCCTCCGCTGTGACCTCCGTCCTCCAGTCCCAACCACTTCCTCCCCTCTCCTTCTTCCGCCCCCCCACGGCCGGGGTTAAAGGCGTCCCCTCCAATGCCTTCTCCTCCCTCCCCCCCATCCGCAGTCTTGCTCCGGCCTGGCTCGCCGGATACGTTTCGTCGGCAAACTTCAACGCCCTTCTGGCACGTCGGCGGCGCAACCTCGTCTTGGTGCTCCGGCCGCCCCTGCCGAAGCCCCTGCCGAAGGAAGGCCTCCAAAGGTGCGAAACTCTCATCTACAGCAGCAGCAGCAGCAGCTTCGCTGTTGCTTTGTCTGCTTTCGGCATGGCCCTCGCACAAGACGCAGCTGCAGTCGAAGCCGAACTGATCCTTCAGCCGAGCCTGTCTTGACGCCAAGGCGATCTCCCTTGGTTCCAAGTACGATATCCTATACACAGCGGATGCAGGGATACACGCATTGTGTGTACGCATGTTAGTCGTGCCACGCAGTGCGTTTGGGCTGAGAAGGCCCCTCGCCTTGAAGGTAGAGTTGCGCTGCTGCAGAACAAAATCAACTATCCATGGAGGCGATGGCTTGATGCCACAAGGAGCCAGCCACACTACCATTGCGCAAAACTTGAGGCTCGCAAAAACCGAGTGAGAAATCCGTTGAGGAGTGCAAAGTAGGGAGTCCACCCTGAACCAGTGCTATTTTGCGTTATCTTCGCGACAGCAGTGGCAACAAGTCACGCATAGTACATTCCAACCTCTAATGGCTCGTACGTAGCTAGCTGTTTCAGGCGCCATCTGGACGATATTGGACTAACTACGCCAGCAGTGTTCCAGTCCGGACGGTATGCTGTAAACATGGCGCAACACTATTAGTCCGCTGCTCCTCCGGTCTTTGAACAGCTAGCTCCTCACGTGATTTCTTGCCCCATTCGGATCAGCTCCGTGGCGCGGATCTCGCTGAGAAGCGACCCTTTCTCACCGGCGGGGTTCGGATTGACCCCCTTCTTTTTACTATGGGGCATTTGTGTGTCCGAGATAGACTGTCCCGCTCGCCACTTGATGGCGTTCGCCCTGCAAGAAAGTAAAAGCGCGGGAAAACGTAAAAAAATGGTTGCGGAATCGCAAAAATGACTGTTCGAGTAAGGAAAGCAGATGCGCTGGGAAACATATACTCAGGTGCGGAATGCACAAATGATATGTCGAGAAACGATAGTAAAAGAGCAAAAGAGCAACCCCCCTTGACTGTCAAGCAAGTCATGCCACCTAATACATCGCCGGAAATCGCTAGAGTTGGGGCGGAATCACAACAATGGCCATGTTGAAAAGCGGTGGTAGAGGCGCCGTTCCCTGCCTGGTAGGTAGCCATAGCCACGATAATCATGGTTGCCAGACAAGAAAATAAGGGGCAAAGATTTCCGGACATCATGATCGCGGGGAAGAGAACAAGAGCACGTGGTGTTGACAACCAATTTGGTCATGTTACGTTTCGTGCCACAATGCGTGTGGACGATCAGTTGAGAAGAGAACAACGGTCGACGAGATTTCTCCAGAGAAGGAGAGTTCCGGGAGGCAAGATGAAATACAACAAAGTTCATGAAAACCTAGGCAGAAACGAGAGGATGGTGCACAGCAAGCAACGCCGAACGATGTCTCTTAGACGAAGCCGCTGCTCCGCGCGGAACGCGACACGAAAATCTTGCTGTTGCACCTGAAACGTCCACGGGGGTGCGGAAACACCTAAACCCAGGGTAAAATACACCGAGTGAGCGTAGCACTAGGTCGGAGAGAAAAATTGGCGCTGAAACGCAAACGAAGATGGCGAATAATGGGAAGGCAAGCAAAAGGCAAGCAAGAGAAAAAACCCGCAGGGATAAAACCATGAGCAAAAGCGGGGGAAATCGACGTGCTTGCAGCTGTTGTTGGTTATGGTCGCAGTGCAGACCGACAGTTGCTTGGCGACGCAGTGGCTGCGGCGCGCAGAAGAGACAGGCAGCACACTCCTATGTAACGGAGGTGCAGAGAAGTGAAAGCCTCCGCAGGTTATCCAAACCCCCAAAATTCGTCTCGGAAGCCGATGCTCTCTACGACAACGCGCCTGCAGCTGTGGTTAGTCATGGCCGGGTGCAGGTATATCCCGCTCGCGAAGCCGTTGCTCTGTAGCGCCCCGAAGAGCCGCACGATGCCAGGCACGTCTAGCCCCAGGGCCTCCGCTTCTGCTTCTGTTGCCGAGCTCTCCCGCCCGAGCTTGGCCACCATAACCTTAGCGGTTTCTTCGTGCCTTGTATCGGACAGGAAAACGACGTAACATGAGAAATTGAGTCAGCGCCCGTTTTCCAAGCTACAGTTCAAGTTTTTTTTTCGTGAAGCCTCGCGACAGGCGCTCCATCCGCCGTTCCAGGCTGAACAGAGCAGTTGTTAGCGTTACACCGGTTTGCCTACCGAGCTCTGGAGCAGCACCAGGTTGCGCGAAAGCATCCAACCACCACCCAATCAATGAACCAAAACACGTCATACGACGATGGCGGCGGCGGCGGCGGCGGCGGCGGCAGCAGCAGCAGAAGCAGCAGCAGCGGCCAAGCCGAAGGAAAGCACGTCACACAGGCAACACCCACCGAAGTTGCTCCGCCAGAAAGACAACGCCCAATAGATTAGCGACGTAAGTCCTTAGGGCTACCTTGACATAAGCGCAGCTGCTTCGCTCTCTGGTAGGTCCTGTAGCGACTGAGGGTGTAGCCATCGCAGCTCTCCTAGCACACGTTTCAGCCTCGCTGGAGGGAGTTCCAGTATCCACCGGAGGCATAACTCTTCCTGCACCAACGCAATACATGCACCACGAAAACAAAAAACTGGAGTAACTATCGTACAGTGCTCCCGATGATAAAACAGATCTGTACCACGAAATTTCTGTCCGACTTGTCATTTCCAATGCTGGCAGGATAATGCCAACTGAACGTAATAGGTGTGCAATACGTCTTTTCCCGGATATAGCTGACGGAGCTCTATGGTGTCATGTACGAGATGTGTGATCACATCGTTGGAAGCATTTGTGTAACGCAGCTCCCTGAACCAATAACCCAATTGCACTTGGAAAGGCAGCCGCGATACAAGGCGTGCATCCAACCCATCCGCTCCTCCTCGTGAAACAGATTTCCATCGTGCACAGAACTCCGCATTCTGCTGCGAACTACGTTTGTGGCCATAAGGCCGCATATTACCCAGTGATTTGGTCGGCCTCACTCCGAGCACGCAGAGCATTAGACGTAGGGCATCCCATCTGTGTCACGCTCGTTCACCGGCCTTATACATGGCGATCAGCCCTACTCATGCGGCCTTACTCAGGGAGCTCTACTGCTGCATGACACTTGCACGAGGCACAAACCTGTCCCACTCCCCCCGCCTGGCCGCACTCAATCGCTGTGGGCATCGGCAAGAAGCGCTTCTCCACCAGCAGTAGCGTACCCGGGGCAATGTCAGTGGCGGCCGTGAAGCCTCTCCCCCCTCCTCGGTGCGGCATGCTCCCCTCGTAGCGTACGGACGGATGCTATTGTAGCGGCGGGAGACGTAGCGCACGGTGTGTGGGGAGGGTGTACTCTTATGTTTTGCATGCCTTAAATTGTTTTACCATTGACCACGCGTCCGCTCGAGAGGACGGAGCATTGTTCCTACAGGACCGATGACCGATGGCCAATCGCTCCTTCCTACTTTTGCTAAAGGTGGCTCAAGAATGTCTCCCTGTCCTACCTATCCTGTCGATATCACTTCCCTCCTTTTCAGCCTACTCCTGTGACCCCAGTATAGCTACGCGGTGGACGGGGGGGGGGGGGGGATAGGATCTTCAAATAACTCCGCTAGTGATAAAACGCTCATCGCGATGTTCAACGTTGGAACACTTCAGGTGTTGCTGCAACGCTCACACAACTGCCAAGTTTTGGCTTTCTTGCGGAGGGGGCGAATGGCAGCCCCCAGCAACTTGTGATAAAAGTTGTTACGGGGAGCGGGAACTCGAACCACGAAAAACTGAAGCTCGAGGATAAGGGAAGATGTGGTCAAGAGCTTTCCGAGGATTTCGCTATTCCAGAGGCTGGCACATCCACATACCCCCCTCGATGTGGGCCTGCTGTTTCTCAAGGCCAAGATGGCTTACTTTGGCCCAAGCTGAGACCCGTCGGGCCTGCTCGTTGTCGTTCGCGTCAGGGATCGAGCGCACAGACGTTGAACGATAGGTGCCTGAAAAGGTTCGGAAATACCACCTGGCTGCGAGACCCCGGTTGAAGTCTCCAGCATGCTATCACAGAGAGGCTGTAAAGGAGGATAGACTTAAGAATACGGGTTGCGTGTGAGAAAAAGGCAGATACACCAAAAGACGCACAAATAGAGTCACCTGGAACACTGGAGGGGTAGAAAACGGCGCCCTAGCCGCAGGTCCCCCCGCATCTCCCGCAACGGCACCGCTGTTCGAAACTTCTCTCTTCTCGATGATGCCCCCCTCGTCGAAACCGGGTGGAAACTGAAACCTCGGCAGCAGGGATTCCCAAGCGTACAATCTTTGCTTTCTTCTGGCAGTTGGCAGGCTTACCGCTGCCGGCGGGCGTGGTGGTGGCGGTTCTGGAGTGGCCTGGCAAGCGGGAAAGACGCGGGGCGTTATTATTGTAGCGGTTACAAATCTTGCCGTAGGAATTTCGAAGTGTGTGTGAAAATTCATGTTCGACATGTGGGGAAAATAACAGGAAAACAAACCTTTCTCTTAAGCATCTGCCAACACGGGTTGAACCGGCAAACCCATAATAATGCAGATCGAGCCCCCTGTTGTTGATATATGGAACCGCTGGTTTTGTGTTTTTAGGGCCTGCGGGTCATTCCTCTTACCATGAAAGAAAAGGATGCATGAAAAGGCGGTACGGCGAAACACAACGTCAGGTCCCCTCTCAGAGCAAGGGTACCAAGCAGAACCTGGGAGCTGGCACCAAGTACTCCCAAACCCCAAACCCCGCGTGAACCGTCCACTTGAAAGGAGTGGGGTGACTGGTGTAGAGAGATTCGGACACAGAAAACATTTCCCCCGTGAATTGCATGCTTCTGCATTGTGGAAGCTGTGTCACAATAGTACTACATCGTAACAGAGCTGGGTTCTAGTCTAGATTGCGAATGTGCGTACACTCTTTAGCAGCGCTACAGCAGTAGTTCGAGTTGGGATCATCCACGGGACTGTCAGCTTTTCCATGCTGATTTCGTGGATCGACCATGCCACGACGCCACGACGCTCGTATCTGCGCGTTGACCACAACCACCACTTGGCATGCTACGGGCGGGAGAGACATGTCAGCCCAAAGATAGAACCAGGCAAGAACCACAACAGGATGAGTTCTTGCTGTAGCAAGCTCGCTGCTCGCCCGGTTATGATGTACCCAGCAAACACGGCGTATTTTTGTATTTTTCGCTGGATGGTGCGGGAAAACGCTGGCTCTGTGATGACTACTCACCGTGACTGCTGCTGGCTGGTCCTCATCGCTATCCGAGCCGAACACATTCCAAGGGTCCGCCATGCCTTCAGAGCGAGGGAACACAACCGCACAAATACCCAGGCACGGCAGGGCTGATTCTCTGTCTTGATCAGCCCCCATTTGGTCCCTAGTCCCAGTCCCGACCCCTTTGACCGCAACGAGGTGTACGATTTTGCGGGGCCCCCGCCTGATTTCGTGATTTCGTGAACCTCTCGCTCGGCCTACCTCTCAGTGCCCTGTACAGCAGTACACCTTGTGCTGTGAGCCGGTGAGTGTGATGATCTCCTAGCATAGTCGTGGATATAGGATGTAGTGGGAAGCATTTCGCGTGTGCATGTATTAAAGTTTCGTTTCCGACGCTGTTCTTCCCCCACAGGTCGTGTGAGAGAGCACTTCTGTATCGACGTCCCACCTCCAAGTAGAACCAGCATACACCGTCAGCATTCAAATTTGTGTGTATGAAGTGTGTAGGTGTACGGTTGCTGTGCAGCTGTACACGCAGGGCGTGAAGTTTATCTTGTTCGAGTTATGCCCTGAATATGCAGCTGCTATACTCCGCTCAACGTTTCCTACACAGCTTCTTTTGTCCAACATAATGAAGTAAACGTACGGTAACACGCCGCAGCAACGTCTAGTCTACGCGTAACTCTCTCGATGTTGCACATATCTAGTCTATGCGTGGATGCGACGGCATGTCGGTCGTTCGTTGCGATGTGCTGTTTAGCGTAAGACTACTTGAAACAATATGAGGGCCAGCGCAGCATGAAATTTTTGTTGCAACACGTAACGTGCATCTCCCAGGGATTTTCAACACAAGGGCTTCTCCGCTAGCCCGCTAACCCGTGCGGTTACCGACGCTCCCCGTGCGAACGAGGGTCATCGTTAGACTATACGGTACTTGTAGACAGGGCGGCAGATGAGGGTACTCTGTAGGAGAGGGGACAAAGTTAGCGCCCGCACTTGAGAGCCTCTAGGTATGGTCGAGACTGGGATCTTATCATTGTATGTATATTTACTAGATCGGGAGGTAGGTGCAATAGTTCTTTGTTGAAAAACGTACCTGAGTAGGCTCGTGCGTTGCTATCATTGGCCCGTTTGCTACGCAGCAGCAGAATATTGATTGAGGTGTGGGGGGCGCCAATCAATCAATAACAATGTAGACGACAAAAATATATTTATGTCTAGGAAAAAAAAAGACACCTCCACACGGACTCGAACCTGTGACTTCGAGAGTCAGGGTGGTATTCATCATCAGCTAGAGAGGGGGTGTGGTATTCATCATCAGCTAGAGAGAGGGGGTGGTATTCACCATCATCAGCTAGGGGTTTAGGCCATTTCTTACGGTTCTTTTTTGGAGCTGTATTTTTCTTTTTTCCTTCTCAAAAAAAGACAACTGACCACAGAACCCCTTCTTACGCTGTCTTTTTTCAGGAATAAAGGCCAACAAAAAAGACAATCCATTTTGGACAGCCCATCCTGTCTTTTTCTGGGGCAGTTTTGGGTAAGTCAGGGCTGTCTTTTTCTGTGGTCTTTTTTTGGTCACAACCACATGACGCTACCTAAAAACTTGAATCTCTCGGCGGTTGATCCCCGCAAACTCTAACGGTGTTCACACGAGCTGTGTCATGTGACTGGTGCAGAGTCAGTAGCATCAGCGGTAGCGTTGTTTTTTCATTCGCCTGGACCAAGTGGACAACCCGATGTGTGCGGCGCAAACAAGCAGCAAACGAGCCGAGAGAGCCTGGACGCAGCAGCGGGGGGTCTTTGTTGGTGTACTGTCAACTTTTGCGAACCCAACGTTTGGGCGCCCTACAGCCTCCTGATCTGTGTCAACCACCACACAAGACGGATCATCGCTGTTACTGGAGTGGGTGGCGAGGGAGCATCGATGAACCAAAGTTGTGACACGGGCGAAAGAGAAAAAAAAATGCTTGAAGACGAGGCGGGTCATTTTTCCCGCTTGCTCACGACTCTTGCGCTCACAATTTTTGAGCGCCCTTCAGCCTCCTGGTCTGTATCAACCACCACACAAGGCGGACCATACACACAGCTCATGGCGGATACCTTTGTCATCGCTGGTGCTGGAGTGGGTGGCGAGGGAGCATCGATAAACCAAAGTTGCGACACAGGCCAAAGAGCAAAAAAAAACTGGTTGCTGGCGCGGTGGGTATTTTTCCGGCGTGCTGTTGACCCTCGCCACCTCAGTTTCCGTGCCTCCAATCGCCCTGTGGTCTCTAACAGCCACCACCCAAGACGGACCATACACACAGCTCATGGCGGATGCCTTTGTCATCGCTGTTGCTTCACTGTATGCGGAGATATCACCGAAACACCATAGCGGTGGAAGGTGTATGTATGTGTGACGAACGGCCGTTGCAGGGTCTCTTTTTTTCGGTCGATGACTCGGAATAGAAAAAAGGATGGACCAGCACCGCAAGAAGGGGGTCATCTTTTTTTGTAGATATTTATTTGGGTCGTCTCTTTTGGGGGAAAAGATATCTAATAAAAAGACACCGTAACAAATGGCCTTAGCAGCTCAAACAAATAAAAATACTCTGTGTCTGCTCAAAAGCGTGTGATGGGTAATGACCAGACTAGCACGGAAGGCTGGTCGCACACTAGGCTAAAGTGTAGAAAGGCGTACAGCAGTTACCTAACACCACCAATGGTGGTGCGTAGCAAGTGTCATGAAATAGAGAGAGAGAGAGAGAGAGAGAGAGAGAGAGAGAGAGAGAGAGAGAGAGAGAGAGAGGCTGCTGCTGCTGCTGCTGCTGCTGCTGCTGCTGCTGCTGCTGCTGCTGCAACCAACAAAATGTTGATCTCTCCTCTCGCTTTGTCCGCCGATAGCTATTGTAACAGCAGTAGTATAGGGCACACCCTGCTTCTCCTCCGTCGTCTCGCCCTCGCTGTGGTCTGTGTCTCCCTCTCCCCCTTTGTCCATGTCTGGCTCCGTGTGCGTGGCGTGTCTTGCGTGTGCAGGCTATCTATGCGTAGCACACAGGCAGCCGCAGTGTTGAGTCGCGGAGCCGTCATTTTCATTATGGATGCGGCCCGCACACTCCGCACGGAAACGCGGCCCACATATGTATAGATAGAAAGATCCAAAATGCGGGCCGCAGAAGGAAGAAGTGTGGTCTGAAACATCGTGTAGCGAGACACGCATGCACATGGCAGCATCGAGACATGTTGTGCACAAACACACGCCGTCTCGCCCTCGCTGTGGTCTGTGTCTCCCTCTCCCTCTTTGTCCATGTCTGGCTCTGTGTGCGTGGTGTGTCGTGTGCGAGGCTATCTATCTATGAATACGTCCCACAAGCCGCTGCCGCTGCACAGACAATCAATGCGGCCCGCACACTCCGCACGGAAACGCGGCCCACAAATGTATAGATATGGATAGAAAGATCAAAAATGCGGGCCGCAGGAAGGAAGAAGTGAACATCGCGTGGAGCGAGGCACGCACGCATACATGCACATGGCAGCATCGAGACTTGTCGTGCACAACAAACGTGGTGTTATGCTGGACAGTAGTACCGTGACCTGACGAAGGGCGCTAGTATGGGACACTCTCCAAGTTGATGGGCGTGGCGACCTTTCTGTGCAGAGGCGCATAGTACGAAAAAAGCTCAACGCTCAAATATGCAACACCAACAAAAATTTCGCCTGGCGCTGCCTGCCGCCAAGTGCCGCCGCTCGCAGCAAAACACAAGAAGCGGTGACCGACCGAGAGAGACCCAACCAAACGCGCATCTCTCCTCTCGCTTCCTCCGCCGATAGATAGCTAACAGCAGTAGTGTAGTATAGGTCACACCCTGCTCCTCCTGTCGTCTCGCCCTCGCTGTGTTGTGTGTTTCCTTCCCCCTTTTTCCATATGGCTCCGTGGTGTCTTGCGTGTGAGCCTACCTACGTCCCACAGCCCGCTGGCTGCAACAAAACAACCGCGAGACCAACGACAACAACCAAACGTGTATGCATCTCTCCTCTCGCTCCTCCTCTGCCGATAGCTAACAGCAGTATAGGGCACACCCTGCTCCCGCCTCGCTCTCGCCCAAACTCTCGCTGTGGTGTGCGTCTGTCTTCCTCCTCCCCGGTCCTTGACCATGTATGTCTGGCTCCGGGTGATGATGCTGTCTTTTGCGTGAACCAATCTATGCCTACGTACGTCTGGTCCCAAACAAGCCTCCTCCTCCAAGTCGGGGACGCCTGAATGCGACATGTATATTCTGCGCAGATGTCTTCGTAACTCGACGCACCGAGCACGGATTGAAAAGGTAGCAGTTGGGACGGCTCGGGCAGAATATTATTACCTGTTGTGAACATGTCTTAGATTGCAATTTGGTGCCTAGATGGTGAAATGGGCTCGAGTCTGCTGGCTTATTTATGGCTGGTCAGACAGACAGACAGACAGACAGACGTCCATTATTGTCTGATAACCCCACCCCCGACTGGAAATTGTTCTTCCTTTGTGCGCACATACACACATGCAATCCCTCTAAACAGCTTTTTGCAACACAAAAAAGCGCCCCTAACCGGGCCGCTCTTCTTGCATAAAAAAGCTATTTTTAATAGTACAAGGCGTCCCTCCGGAGTGGGGTAAAGAGAGCACCGCGGCAGGGGGTGATGCAAGAACATGCAAAAAGGAAACGCAGATATAGATGATAGAGTACGCACTGTTCGTTCCTTCCACACTCCGCATTTGCCGTTTTTCTGATGCTGCGCCTCCCACCGCCGCGGATTCCAGGCCGCCAAACGACTTGAAATTCATCAGAACCGTATTGTCGCCCAGGAAACGCACACACACACCCTCGCTACAGGCCGGCGGAGAAGCGTTGTATTCGCGCGTTTATATGCAAACAGTATGTTGTAGGGCAGTGACGGTAGCATCATGGTGTGTGTCGCACATTCCGGAGAAAAGAAGAGGCCACATGTATGTGGATGTATTTTTTGTGAAGGTGGGACGGGTCGAATGAATCCAGACAGGAGCAGCGCGCGCGCGTGTGTGTTTTTCAAACATTCAACGAAAGATGGATACACGTAAGCGGACACAGCCAAATTATCACGTACTACAACACGCATGTACGTACTGTGCACCCACCACGACGGGGGGGAAATAACTTCAAATAGACGGAAAAAAATATTTCGAAACGAACTTGCGTCCGCAGCGACCTGGGTGCAGAACTATTTTGTCGTCACTACAATATATGTTCTACCTCCATACAACGTTGTTCTATGTTCCGTCCAACGTTCTGTCCAAGCTGTGCTGCTGCTGCGGGTCGTGGGTGCTTGTTAGCTACAGTATGTACCACAGCGTTTGTTTGCCTGTGCCTCACGAAGGGTGAGAGCCAAGGAGGAGTTGAAATAATGCAACAAGAGCAGCCAAGACCCGAGCAGCAGAATACAACAGCAGCAGCAGCATAGCGGCACAAACGTGGGAGTCGATGGCAGCGGTAGAAAGGAGAAAACCAACAAACAGGCGGCGGGTGTTGTTGTGAGCTGAAGAGAGGGCAAAGGGGACGCCGTTAGACAGCTATAACCTCGCACCATCAATCATCAGCCGCGCTTGGAGCCGCAACGGAAACGTCCCTCCTCTTAGATTGCTAGAGTACTTGAACGGCCTACCCGCTTAACTAAGAGGTTAAGGGCTTTCTCGCGGGTGGGCGTGTTTGTTGTGTTCCTCCAGCGTGCGCAACCACGGAGTACAGACGTATGCGTTTTCGAAACTGCTGTTATACGGAGACCTGTGACCAAGCAAGGTGCTTTTCCCTGTTCTACCCGCTACTGCTGTGCTAGAAAGAAAGAAAGAATGTTACAGCTGCTTCAAAGAACATGAAAGACTCTCGAAGTCGAACAGCCGCCTGGAAACAGAAGTGAAAAGAACACCCGAACAGCCCCCACTGCTAACGACCAGCCAACACAAATGTATAACTGTACATACATGTAGACACAGAGGCGTCATCAAAAATCAGCATCTGTCTTGGCAACCGTGGTGTTGTCGTGCCACACCAGTGCTGATGTTCACGCAGAACACACAATCCCGCGCCTGTTGCGAATTGCAGGAAACGTGCCAGGCGACGGCGTTTGGAACTTCCTCGAAGTTGCCGGAAGAAGTACCCGTCCCGGGAGTTTTACCATGGGATCTCCACGCTTTGGCGACATCGATGTGGGAATGGTAGGTCTAGAACAATGACCCGCTACCGGTAGCGACGTGACCCGTCTCCCTTCTCTAGATGGAACACTAATGCTATCTCCTGGTTCGAGACACCCTCGACCTTTCAGTACGGCGTAAGAGATTGGCGGTATTGCCGTGTAGGTTTGCCACACAATCGTGGTGCCCTCAATTTCTGTTCGGGGAACGACCGGGGTTCTGCGTTTCGTTCTATCGGAAGAGGTAAACCCCGCCCGCTGCTGCTGCTGCTGCTGCTGCTGCTGCTGCTGCTGCTGCTGCTGCTGCTGAAACGTAATGTGATGTGTGCTGTCTGTCCAAGGCTATGACCGCCATCCTGGCGTGCATGGCGTCAACGCTCGGTGCCCTTCTCTTGACCCTCACACCGAAGGACTCTAAACGGGGGGGATCCACGTGGTGAGCCCGTGTAGTGGTGACAGTCTTGCTTTGTGGGTGGTGGTGGTGGTAGTGGTAGCGGAGGTTCCATTGGTTGTGTGATGTAAAAGCAATAGTGAGCGTTGTCGTTGTTGTCGTTGTTGATGGTGTTGGTGTTGGTGATGGCGGTGATGGTAGTGGTGGTGGTGGTCGATGAAGAGCATTTATTTCCAACGGACTTGTATTTTCGATTGAGAGATGACGACACGAAGTCTTTCGGTTTCCATTCTGTTTGATCATAACGTTTTTATCTTCGTTTCCCTCACGACGAATTTTGTTAATTACACCTCTTGTTACTGTCTTTCGCTCTGGTTACCAATGAGTTGTGCTCCCTCTGTATTTGAGTTTGCGTGTTACCGCGTTGCTCTTCCTCTTGATTGTGTACTAAAATTGTTTTTGTCGTCCTTTTTTTTGTTGTCAGGCTAGCGTGCGCCAAAACCAACCCCGCGAAGAGAGCGTGGGAGGTGTTCAACCTGCGCTACGCGGTGTTCTGGGTGGGGTGCTTTGCGGCCATCATCGGCTTCAGCCTCTACGAAGATTTTGATGAAGTGAGAGAGATCGTGTTTGGCACCAGGCGTACGTAAAAGTGCTCCACTTCACGGAAGCACCGTGATCTTAGGGGGGTTTCTGGGGGGGGTTGTTCATACGTTTTTTGGGGGGGTCGTTCATACGATGGAACACAGATCATGAGCCAACGGGGACGAGATATGCCTGTGTTCGTTTTTGGGGGGGGTCGTTCATACGATGGAACACAGATCATGAGCCAACGGGGACGAGATATGCCTGTGTTCGTTTTTTGGGGGGGTCGTTCATACGATGGAACGCAGATCATGAGCCAACGGGGACGAGATATGCCTGTGTTCGTTTTTGGGGGGGGTCGTTCATACGATGGAACACAGATCATGAGCCACCGGGGACGAGATATGCCTGTGTTCGTTTTTTGGGGCGGTCGTTCATACGATGGAACACAGATCATGAGCCACCGGGGGAGAGATATGCCTGTGTTCGTTTTTTGGGGGGGTCGTTCATACGATGGAACACAAATCATGAGCCACCGGGGACGAGATATGCCTGTGTTCGTTTTTTGGGGGGGCCGTTCATACGATGGAACACAAATCATGAGCCAACGGGGAAGAGATATGCCTGTGTTCGATTTTTGGGGGGGGCCGTTCATACGATGGAACACAGATCATGAGCCACCGGGGACGAGATATGCCTGTGCTCGTTTTTTGGGGGGTTCGTTCATACGATGGAACACAGATCATGAGCCACCGGGGGAGAGATATGCCTGTGTTCGTTTTTTGGGGGGGGTCGTTCATACGATGGAACACAGATCATGAGCCACCGGGGAAGAGATATGCGTGTCTTCGTCGTTGGGTCACACTGTACTTGGCCTTTGCGGAACGACGTTCACCGGCCGTGATGTGCTAAGGGATGTGCTTCGGTCACTTCCGTTTTTCTAGGTTGGGTGTGCCGGTGCGGAGTATCGCTCAACCGCGGTCGTTTCCAAAACCCCGGTTGCCTCGCTGTTATTCAACACGTCCAGCGTTTCCGAAACATGCCGTATTGGGACCCAGAGAACCGAACCAAGACGTCCGAACCAGCACGCCTCCAGGGCGGAATAACGAGAACCCAACTACACACGTAGATCTGTGGGAGCTGTTCCGAATTCTTCCGTTCACAAAAGCTCCAGTTTACTCGGTCTTCAACCACGTTAAACCTTCGTTTGTCGTTCAACATTTCCCAGGTGTCATACATGGTGGTTTGCTTCGGCCTGTCCCTGCCCATCGTGGCCTTCCCCCTCGTCAGCATGCACCCGTCAGAGGCGGGGCTGGCCGTCGGGCAGCGTTACGGGGTGCGGGCCAATGTTTGGATAGCGATCTACAGTTTCATCGGAAACTACTGGTGAGAACCCTCGGTTCTCTCCCAAACTTGGCAGACGATAATTAATAATTAAACAGCAAGTGCGAAAGGTCTTGAACAGACCATGCTACCTCCTGACTGGGAGAGGGGGGATGGTTGTCGGTCTATTCAAACTATCACAGAAGATCGGGTTTTTTTTTGCGGTTTGGGATTAGGGTAATGGGTTGGAAATGCATCCGGAGATCAGTTTGGGCTTACGGGCCTCCGTGCTGAGGAAACTATTTTCTGTTCATGTCTCCTTTCCGTCTTCTCATTAAAGTGTTCTCCCTCTCCCTCGCCCTCTCCCTACAGTTTGTACCGTACGATGCATCAACACAGTAACATGCAATCACAAATAAATAGTAGCAAGATGACAGCAGTAGCAGAGACATATGGTGACAGGAACAACGAACAGCGGCAAATGACCGACGACAACCGCGAGACAGCAGTACGTAGTTTCTCGGCAAGGCGTTCTTGTTATGCCCGTTGAATTGTATCTGTGGGTGTGTTCTCTCATGCGCGTAATATTATCTTGCCGCATGCCCCTGCTCTCTCCCATGTGCTTGTCGTGGCCAGCATGGTGCCTTCAGACTGCCGTTGTTCGTGGCTACCTTGTTCCTGCTTTCTCCATGGTTGCATTCGACCATACCCCCTTTCGTCCGACACTCTGTTTCCCCCATCCGCAGGTACACGCACTACTTCTACTGCGTGCTAGGCGCTAAGTACACCTTCCCTAGCTGGTGAGTGACGAAAGAAGGTACACAAAAGTTGTTGGTGTGTTTAAGTCTGCCTGGTATCTCATGTGTGGGTTGCCTGATAGGGTCATGTTCTCGGGTGCGTTGGGATGTCTCGGAAGACATGCCCATAGGGTCTTGGTCCAAGTACCAAGTCCACTGCCTTCTCGACAGGGATACGTGCGAAATACAGAGACACTGCTGAGAGGTCGGGTCGTTCCTTTCAGTCAAAACGATAACGACAACACAACCACAAACCTTGACGGTACGGAGAGTCAAGCATGTTTCCTCTGCAGAACGGCGCTCGTGACGTAATGAACCACCCCCTGGCGTGTGACGTTTGGTTTCCTGATTGTGAAGACTTTTAGGAGGCAGGGAAACCGCAACCATTCCAATACGTTTGAGAGAGAGGGGTCCGATTTAGAATTTCCAGAAGACATGCTCGTTGTTTGCTGTTTTCCTCGCCCCCCTTCCTTCGTTGCAAAGGGATATTCAGAATGCTAGAACAACAGCCCTTGGGTACTAAAAAGGCAGACGGGCAAGGTGTGATGCCGCGTTGCTCGAGGTGTGTTGTCCGCGTACTGTACGCCAACCCGATGTTGTTGCTGCTGTTTTTTTTCGAAAGCCTGACCATCAGACTCACACCTTTTTTTTGTGGTACCTGATATTGATAGGCTCGCACACCGCAACTTCATCCTCAATTGTCTCACCTTTTTCGTGTCAGAATTAACGGCATGTCGGGAACTTCTCCATTGATGCGTTTGCATTCACGCGCGGCTAATTCTGCGTATCTCGACGCGCTGTTTCTTCCCGCGTATCTGGATTTTCATCTCGCTCAGGCGGTTGAACGACGTGCCGATACCGTTGATCGCTGCGACGGTGTTCTACTTCTCTCTCTACCATGCCCTCAGCAACATGGCCATCCGCAAGGTTTGTCGTGGAAGAAAATGTAAATGTATGCTCACGTGGGTGGTTGCTGGACGTGGTCTACACGGCCAGTTGCTCTCTCTCTCTCTCTCTCTCTCTCTCTCTCTCTTCTCTGCCTGCCGCGCTTGTTGTCTACATCGATAGTGCGATATTGTTCTCATATTTATACGATCATGATTTGCTTATGCGCATACGTTTTTGTTTCTTTGGCTGGTGTTTTATCTTGTCTCCCTTTTGCTGCCACGCCCTCCGCTCGATAAACCGCCAAACACGTCAATGCATGGCTGGCTTTATTGTCGATTGTTTATATTCACGTATGGTCGACTGCTGTACATGGTATAGGACTCGGCAGATAACAGGTTGAGCACTCGATTTTTGTCGAAAGCAAACATGTGGAGCCGAGGAGCTGTTGGGCTACGCCACAGCGGAAATAAAAAGATCCTCGGGCACTGTAACAGGGCCTTTAGTGGCGGCGCCATCTGTATCCGATCGCGCTTGGGCCTGCTCGGCCCTGCATGCGACCACTCTCTGCACAGGTCGAAAGCTGTTGAACAGCATCAGCTACTGCACCTTTGCATGCGGCGTTCACAGCGCGTGCCCCCCCCTGTCGTATGTCGTTTGAACAGATTTCCTTTGAAAGAAAAATCATGGTTCAAGTCCCACAGCTAACGGAAATTAAAACGCTTTCCTTTGGAAGAAAAAAGCGGGTTCAAGTCCATTTAAGCGCTTTCCTTTGAAAGACAAATCATGGTTCAAGCCCCACAGCTGATGGATGCAACACGAACACTACCGATGTAGCATGTCGCTCCATCGCCGCAAACACCAGTGGGATTTTTTTCCCCTCGCATCGTGCTGCACCATGTTCAGGTCGTCACGTCCTTTGAGGCTACCACGTCGCGGGCGGTGACGCTGGTGGTACTGGTGGGCGTGATGTCCTACGCGGTGGCCTTCACGGAGACCCTCACTATCTCCGGGTTCCCGTACTACGAGTTCGAGGACAGAGACATGGCGTACGTCGTGGGATCGGCGTTCTACGGGATATACTTCGTCGTCAGGTGCTGCTACCAATGAGCGTGTGGACCTTTTCCCTAAACAATTTTGTTTCTTTGGCTCAGTCACGACCCCCCCCCCGCCCTCCCACTTAGAATGACACCACCATGCCTCCTGACCCTTCCCGCATTGGCCGGAGAACAGTCGAAACAGACAAGAGATTGTCCATCACCTTCATCGTCCCGGCACCACCCTAGCTGTGTATCTCTCCAACGCTCGGTGCTTTCGTCTACGATCGTGCTTGTTTTGACGACCCGCACGCATCTATTTAAACCCCTGCACTACGAACTGGCCTCCCATGCGCAGTTTTCCAATGTTCTACGCGTTCGACGAGTGGCCACAAGAAGACGAGAACAAGCTGGCGGACAGGAAGGCCGGGAATTCCGCGCGGGGGCTATGGGGTGCGGCGGTAGACTCCCTCGGAGCGAGCATGCTCATCCTTTGCCTTCTGGACTTCGTCCGCTTAGCCGTAGGGTCGGAATTCTTCATGAAAGGATGACTTATGCCTGCCCGAAAGCACGGCAGCTCAAAGAGCGAAGAAAAAGTGGTCAAACCTGTCTTGTTGCGCAGGGGAGATGTCATTACATGCTGCTCGGGTAATCGTAGAAACACGGGCAGTGTGTCCGCGTACACTACAAGTATGAATCCATTGCTAGTTTATCTCGGACCCTCATCTCCTGGATAGGGGTCAATTCGTTGTTTTTTTTGTAAGACAAAAAACGGGATATTTTAGTTGTTGTGCTCTCTATTGTAGTGTTCTAGCAAACACGAGACTTGAGGTCTCTTTTTCGAGGGTGGGGTTTCTTAGTGGAAGGAAGGTTGGGATTTTTCCGGGATTTTTCCGGGATTTTTCCGGGGGAAGAAGGGTGCGGCTTGAAATAATACCTAGTACGGGTTAATCGTTCTCCGTGAAACGATGAAGGTCGTGGCCTGACGAGCTTGTTCAGGAGAGACTTGGAATTGTTAGTGGGAGGTGGGAGAATCGTTGTGTAACGAAACTCACAATGTGTTCGAGAAGTCTTCTTTTGGTGCAAGGAGGAAGAGGTCCTCAGCGGAAGCGCGAAGTTGTGCGTGACACGACAACCGTGCAGTAGAATGTTTGCGCGCATGAACCCGGCAGTCTTGCAGCCGAGGGAAAGTCTTACAGCTGCGCAACTCTCCCGGGCTGTTGTCTGCAAATAACAACATCTGCTTTCGACCTTCATCCAGAACCGCCTGTTCGTGCTACGTAGTTTCACCAGTACTGACAACTTAGCATGGCCAAGGGATCATCCGACGCAGGAGTCGGCAGTTCCTGTACGATGTGCTGCGTACTGGGGGTTTGCATCCCAGTAATGTAGGCCACCAGATTTCCGGTTTGACGTTTTCAGCAGAATGATCGTTCAGTTCAGAATACCAATGAACCGGTCAAGGCTTCGGCGCCAGTAAAAAAAATCCAAAATTTTGGAGGGAGGGGGGGGGTTCCGTGTTTACAGTCTTCGAGTCCTCTCGATGTGCACACTTTACCCATGGCGCCAAGCGTCAGTTCAAAAGTCGATTGCCTTTCGGAGTGCCCCGGAATGAGGACACATCCGCGTGAGCGACAGATGTCATAGCTGTTCGCCCGTTGATGACACGCCCACCACCACCTGAAAATCCGGCTCAAATGTCTCGTGCGTCGTTGCTATTGATACTCGCTGGCATAACAGGCGCTTGTCCCTTCAGCGACACGAGCACACCAAAAGCCCTCGACAGCACACAACCCAACACTACGTGCCTGACCGCGAAGCAGCCAGCCGTTTCGACCTCGACCCAAATACAAAAAAGCCATGTTCGGCTGAAAAGACGTATAACAACAACGAAGAACAGAAGCAACGATTTTTGTACAGCAACTCTTACCCAAGCCATCTCTCATATACACCAGAGGAACACCGCGCTGGGGGGGGGGGGGGGGGAGGCAGACGATCAGCCAGGCGTTGGCCAATGCTCGTGTTCAAACTTGAAAAAACGGAGGCTCTGCACCCAGTAGTACGTCCAAACGCTACGCTGGCCGAACCCGAAGCCATTCTCAACGTGCTATAATATAATTGACCCCCCAGGCCAGAGGAATTCCCCCTTGGTATTTAGGTGCGCGTGCCAACGTGTTCTAAAGCGAAACTCGAAAAAACCAAACGCACCCAAACTCACCATTCCTCCGTCACCTGGCCCCTCGATATTCGTTGAGTAGAGGGCGAAATGTAAGCGAAAATATTGCATCAAGAAGAACACAAAAAACCTTTCGCGTGAATTTCCCGAGCTCCCTAACCGCTGTTCAAGCAACACCCGCTCAACATCGTAGAACGGAACAAAATTTAAGAAGCAAGGAGGGGCGGGGGGAACGCCACGTGCACATAACGGAAACACTGATTGCCACATAGATAGGCGGGACTCCATTGGAAAACTGAGCCCCGTCGACACAGATAGCACACCTCTTTCGTCAATATCTCCCTTTCTCAAACAAGTGCAAACCGCCCGCCGCAAGTAAATAGAAAATAACATACCGACCTGTGAATACATCGCGAGTCACCATGGCAAACTGCCCCTCCACAACCAATACAAACAACAGCCACAAGCCGAACACTTCCAGAAAGACCCAGAAAGCAAGAACAGTGCTCTTAACGGTGCTGACATGTCAACACTGGCTCTGTCGCGAGCGTCCTTGAAAATATTTCCAAAACCATCATAAAACACCCTCCATTGCAACCCCATTGACATTCCAAACAAGGCACGCCGTGAACGGCACGTCCGGGGATCCTCTTTTTATAGAATTTGCCTGGTGAGCAGCCGAACGGTCAATGTTTCTGTATCCGAGAGCAATTCCCCCGCTTTCATCCATCCTTTGGAGAATATCGTTTCGGTTCTAGTGCCCGATACACCGTCATTTTCCAGTTGAACGACGTAACCACCAACACAATACAGCAGTAACAGAGTTTCTCTCCCGAAAAACGACCCTTCTTACACGCTGCCAGTAGCAAACGTCGGAGACGGGTCAGAGCGAAACTCGTGATCGCCAGCGAAAACCCGTCGCAACAACCACCAATCACAACACACCGTGAAGTTACAAGCAGCTTGAACACCTGGTTCACATGTGTACCTTGGCTGCCACGACTTTCACGAACGTCTCTTTATAAACTAATAGATACCCTCCCCACCTCATACAATCAGAAAGCATACAACGAAAAATGCTTTGTATGTCGTTGTGAAAAGTGTTTGGTTATCGTTGTGCTCGTATTTTCGACACGAAAGGTCATGTCGGCAACGAAGCGCCGTAGGGCTAGCCAAGTCAGAGGAACAGCGGTATCCCAACTCTAGGACCAGCCTTGCCCATTGGTCGTTAACAGCAAAGTCGGTAGCGATCGCGAGAACAGAGAATCACAACACCTATCAAAGCACCAACAACCAACGAAACACTTCGAGACAGGCAACGTCCACGAATGTCTGGGCGCGAGCCGCGTAATATTCATCGAGTATTGACAACTTGGCAAGAATCAAACTTCGTCCAGCCAAGGGAGCCGAGGAGCAAGTGGAATAGACGTCAAGTCTACAGCTGAAGGAGTCGAGGCGGGTCCGTTCGAGCCTTCCTAGACCCAATCAGTCCCCACCGCCACTCTGAAACAGACGTGGCCACCTCAACAGCCAACTCTCTTTGCCTAGTCTTGCGAGACCCACCCAAGCAATGCTGTCCGGATGTTTTGAACGCGGCGGACGTTTGTGTCTCTTGCGTAAACGAAAAGTACGCCACCCGATCCGCGAATGGAATAGCCAACGCCTTGTAACAATAGTCTAGAGTCTGGCTGCATCCAATGCAGACGGGCCAAGTGTATTTCTATGGGCCAAGAGGGCACCCTGCAGATGGAGAAGCGTTGTCTTGCCTGCAGAACACCCTAGCCCAGCAATCGTAGCCCCTCCAACCAGACCCAACTGACGCTCGACTTGCGGTGTTTCGTTGTAAGCGCGATCCATTTTGCGGACGGAATGACACGGTCCCACTTTTGGCGCCTATCAGAACTCGTAGGGATGGGGGCTGTTCACGCAGACCGTCGGACCGCCTCTGGGAGAGGGGTGCTGCAGACTGAGATTTATCGCCTCCGCCATCTCTTCGTCAGTCACCAGTCCCTGGCGACCCGCCAAAAGCGTGAATCCAGGGGGGGAGAGGGCGGGGGGCGGCACCAGACACTATTACAGGGGAAACACATCAAGATTACTTGTTCAACCACCGTGACACTGCGAATTTTGTCTCTGGGTGGCGCGTTGTGTGTTGATGCACTTGCAGTTACTTTCAAGGACCGGAACACAAGGAGAGTGCAGTGCTGTTTCTTGGACACAGCATGGGTTGTTTGGCTATCGTCACGATTGAAAGTTCTCGAACGAGGTTGTTGGCCGGCATTAAAGCAGGGTTCTGGGTCTCTGCTTCTTCTGTTCTTCCCTCCGACGTTTCGTTGCGGAGTGGACGAAGAGAGGGGCCTAAACACAGAAAGCTCACAGGGTTACAACCACGTGGGCTCGACTTGTTTACGCTCTACAACCAACGTCTACTAACGGGGTCGAACTGGCGGAGGATGACGCCAAGGCCGTTTCGTTCAATTCCGTTTGGTACTCGTCGGAAGGGCAGACCTTGGGGGAGGGGTTGGAGCGAGTTCTGCGAGCGAGTGTCACGTCACGGCAAGTCTCCCATTGCTACCCTTCACCATGCTATCGTCAATGATTTCCACGCTTGCTTCCCGTCAACGGGGGCGCGACGACATGTACGAGTAGCTTCGAGTCACGAGGTTGCCGACGGACGGGGCATTTCGTATACTGTCTTCCTCTGACGTTACTCAAGGAACATGCCCGTAAGCATTCCCAGACATCCCAAGCGCGTGGTGCCGCCTGAAACAACATCTTGTCTGCACCTACCTCAGATCCAAGCAAGAACTCGATAGAAGGGCTGGGAGGTCTGCAAGGGCCTAGTCCCGATGCGGGGGGTGGCCCTCCCCCTTCTTTGCTAAGTCCACCTCCAACACCCTCGACATGCGCATTTCCTCCGTTGCTGCAGGCGCTGCTGGTGCTTGTGCTGACATGAGATGCTGTCCCAGGTGGCGGTCCCACGACGAGGCGGATGCCATGCGTCTTAGCAGTGGTTTGGTGCTGTTGCTGCTGCCGCTGCTTCTGCTGCTGCTGCGCGTCTTGTGGGAGGAGGAGAATGGTGCCGTTGGAGGCGCGGTTGTGGCCATCTTCGCCATTGCTTGATGCTCCTCCCCAAGGCCCCTGTTGCCGTGGAGATGTTCAGCCACAGCGGATACAGTAGGCAATCAATATCTACTGATGACACATGAGGTAGATGGCACAAATTGATTTGATTTGCGTATAAACGGATGCACAGCGGCCTATAAATAGCAACACGATGATCCACTGAACCTGTATTGACAACCCGGAATGTGGCACCGTCAAAACGACCGGTGGTCCAAAAACAATGCGAATATCGCACCAACTTGTGGTGGAAGAACGGTTCGTGGATGCCTTACGATTTCTCAGAGGCCTTGGTTTTCAGAGACAATTCCGGGGCCTCGTGACGATTGGGGTCCAAGCAAGCTCAGACATTGCACGCAATATGTTATCTATAGCAGCAAATATAAATCTGGCTTCCAGACTTGACGGCCCTCTCTTTCGAACGGCATCTATCTCGTTCGAACGCAGGACATAACCATACCTTTCTGGCAGGTCCCTTCAGCCGCGGGGATCGGCGGACGGGAAACGATGCGGCGAGAACACCGGCGTTGAACACTGACTCGTATCTCACGGCACCCCCTCCCGCGCGTCTGCTTCCGACACTGTCGACAACGTCACCCCCGCCGTCCCCGTCGGAGCTCCCTCCGAGAGTAACACCCGCGCCACTTGATGGTGATAACGACGAGGAGGACGATGAGGACGACGAGGACGAGGACGGCGACGACGACAATCTCGTAAACGTACCCCGGCCGGCGTCTCTGCTTGTGCTGCCGTTGCCGTTGCTGCTGCTGCCCGTCCTGTGTTGGTAGTCGTTGCTGAACCGAGGGGATCGGCGGCGGGATGACGTGTCGTCAAGATCGCCACCGCCGCCACCACTATCGTCGGTGTCGCAGGATACGCTTAGATAACCAGCCTCCCTTTTGACGTCCACCGCCGTTGCCGTCCCGTGCCCAGGCGGCAGCCCAGCGCCGGCCTGAGGCGAGGAGAGGCGCTTGTTGGTGGTAGTGGCGGGGCCGTGGCCGAACAACCGTGTGCCGCCGCCAATTCTGCTCCCGGGAGGGCGTGCGACGCCGCCCAGCTCGAGCCCGAGGACGCCTCGAGCAGCGGTGGTCTTCGGCATGCCGTTGGAAGCGGTGCCGCCCACACGGCCGCTGGCCGCGCTGTCACCGCCGCTGCCGGATCCGTCACCGCCAGCGAACCCGCACGGAGACGCGGAGGAACGCGCACCAGATCCAACGCTGCCAACGCGAGGCGAGCGTCTACTCGGCGACAAGAACCCGCCGCTGCTGCCGCCGTAGGTCATCGAAGAAAAGCAAGCACCGCCGCTGCCGTCGCGGCCGCCAGCCGTCGTATGCGACGAGGAAGGGGTTTTCGAGGATTCTCCGGACGAAGCACCGTTCCCGCCGCTGCTACCAAACATTGATGAAGAACTCAGAGCCAGTCCGCCGGCGCCGGCACCCCCGTGGAAGGGAGCGAAGCTCAGCTGCAGCCCAAGGCCTCCGGACCTTGGGATCATCCGCGCGGCACCGTCTCGTGGGCCGGTCCCGGCGCCGCCGTCTGTGTGGCGTGTTTCGAGTTTGATCTCGGTCGCACTCCACCGAGGCTCCACCGCCACTCTCGGAGTTGGGTTCGATACATCTGTGGTCGTTGTCAAGCGAGGGGTGAATCCCGGGTACGGGTAGCCGCTGCTAGGGTTGCTGCTTCCGGTCAGAAGCCGGGGTCCGAGGGTGGTGTCGCCGCTGTTGGCGGCTTCGTCGCCGTGGTCGTACTGTTGCTTCTGCCGTGGCGAAGCGGCGGCATCATTAGCGAGGGGAGAGCGGCGGGATGAACGGGGAAACGTGGCTGCGGTTGATCGCCGCCGTTGCTTCTTGCTTTGGCCGGAGCGGACGATGGTCTCTGTTTTTGTTGCTGGGTCCTCGCCTGTGCAACCTCCTTTGTCCAGGCCTCCCCCTTGCCGGTGCTGGTCGCTGCCAGTCTTTGCCGCGGACGTGGCCACGGCAAAAGAAGTCCGCTTCCGCTTCGACGCACCACCCCCGCTGCCGACGATGCCCCCGGCCTCGTGGCTTCCTTCACCAACGCCGATCCCGCCCGCCGCGCCGAACAACTCCATCGTGGTGGAGGGCGAAGTAGACAGCATGCGAGGCTCTTCCTCTTGTTGTTGTTGCTGCTGCTGCTGCCGACTCAGTAGCTCCGAAGGTGTCGCAAATCCCTTAGCGTGGGCCGGGCTCTTGTCAACGTCCAGATCAGCCAGAACATGCGCCCCAACCCCACCCGCCTTGGCCACAGCGGCGGGGCGCATCTCGTCTCTGAGCGGTGGCATACATGGCGCCGCATCTAGCGGGTCCGCTGCGGCCGGGCCGGTCACGGTGGAACGGGGGTCCGTCTGGTGGACCCCCACCGGAAATCCTCGACTGCAAGGCCTCGAGCGGCCGTGGCCTCTGTCGCCGCCTTCGCCTCCACCACCACCACCACCACCACCACCGGTGTCCGTACCCAAGAAAAAGAACTGCGTCCCTACGAGATGGCTGCCGAGGCTTCCCCCGACGACGCTTCCCCCCAAGCTCCCCAAGCTCCCCAAGCTCCCGGCGTCTAGGCTCCCGGGACTCAGAGCCGCAAAGTCTCCGGCGGTGAGGCTGTTGTCCCCTGCGAACATTCCGGGGCGAAGGCGGGGGGAGAGGCGACGACCACCGCTGCCGCTGGTACCGTCGTGGCCGAGGTTGTTCAAAGAATGCATCCCCTCGAAGTAGCCGGAGAAGTCGTTGCTCCCGATCCCGACGGCGGTACCGCCAACGCCGCCGGCGCTGCTGGAGTGGGTCCCGGTGCCGAGAGCATCGTCGTGAAGTTCGAAAGGTGGCGGTGAAAAGATGCTCACCGTTGTCGGCGACAGCGGGCCTTCTCGTGCTTGGTGGCTGCTGTTCTTGAAGCCGGCAGCTGCGGCAACGTCAACGCTCTCTACCCTTGCCCTCCCTGCAGCTTCTGTTGGTGCCCGGGTGCCCCTCGTGTTGTTGCCCACGAGCCTAATAAACCCTCTTTCGTCCAGCGCAAGGGGACCGCCACCATCAGCACAGCCATCGCTGCCCTGCACCAGATGGGCGTCGCAGCCCCCGCCGTCCAAGCCGTCGTGGTCGAACAGCAACTCGCCGCAGATGTCAGCGCTATCGAAATCGAAGGCGTGGGGATGTAGCCGGGGCGATCGGCGAAGAGAGGAAGGCCCGTCGAGGTGCAAAGGGGACATGGGGTCCAGACCCCGCCTGCCGTATTGTGCGGATGATTGCGGTTTCTTTCGAGGGGGGGGGGGGGAGAAAGGTAAGCGTCATGGCAAGATTAACGATGGGGAGAGTTTGGACGACCAACATTGGCATTGCTTGTGATGATTGAGCTAAGGGAGGAGGGGGGGAAGACAAGCATCATGTCGTGGACGCTGCGAGCAAACGGTAGGACGACCAATATTGACAATGAACTTTGTCAGACGGATGCGGAGCGGGGCTGATGCCAGAAGGCAGAACGCCTCCGTGACGACCACCAACTCGCCTGTGGTGCCGACGTTTCGCCCCGCCGCCTTCGGAGGGCTGACCGTCGGTGGTCTCCACCGTCAGTGCCGGCCTGAATAGGCCTGTTGCTACTGCTCCTGCTGCTGGTGTTGCGAGTCCTACGGCCTGGTGATGCAGACGGTCATGACAAGGAAAAAAATTACGGTTCGAACACTAAAACATATTCTTAGCTTGAATCGCGCGGTGTTCTTCCAGCACCGGTAGTAGGTCATGACGGGGTCGTATGGGTCTTGTTGCGTTCCACCAAGCCACGCACAAGGAGCGAACGGTTGCCTAGGTATGGTTTGTCAACACGATGATCCTACCTTACTACTACTGTAAAAAGACTCGCGTGATTGAATATTCTCCGACCACTTTTCAGGCATCCCGCGCCACGGCTCAGTTCGACGTTGTTACAGCTGTAGTCCATGGTACCACAACAGCAACCGTGGCATGAACAGACTGCTTACCGTCCCGCAGGCCCCGGACGCCTCTCCCACGGTAAAGATGGGAGCCATCGCCTGCTGCTTGAGGGACGGAGCGTTGGGAGAAGCGTTGTGTGTGTCCTGGGTGTCGCACACGAACGCACGGCCAGAGGAAATAAAACACTCGTCTTTGAACTGTCTGACTGCTGTTATCGAATAAACGGCCGCCGTGCAAATGACGAAAGGTGTCCCTAATGTAAGCTAAATTACGCGGGGTACAGCTGCGGAAAAACCGCAAAGAAAGTAGACAAAATAAGCCAAGACGTCAGGCGGTACATTTGGCGTGTTGGAGCGTTGAGTTGCGTAGCACCTAATGAAAGGTCCCTAAATACCCTGGATGAAACATGTCTTCACAATTTGGAGATCAGATAACCACAAAGAAAACCAGCACTTAATCGGCCGCCTCCACCTTTCTCCTCGTTCGATACTACCCCCTGCTTGGAGCAGCAAGTGCTAACCTTGATCGTGTTTGAGTCGAATGTCCCTAGGCCCCCTTCTACCGACGTTTTCGTCCCTGCTGTGCCCATTTCCGGTAGAAGGTTGTGCGGGCTCATGGCTATGTCGTTCGTTGCGCGGCGGCCGGTATTGGTGCTGGGGCGGCGGCCGCCTGGCTTGCGACCGGTGGCTCGGGAGGCGCCACCGTTGGCCTTACGGCCGTTCAGCTTTTGGCCGTTAGCCCTGCGGCCGGCGCTGGACTTGTAGACCTTGGACGAACGAATCTTCGACCGGCGGCCGTTGGAGAGGCGACTTTCGAGCTGAGGATTACCGGAAGAAACACCACTAGGTTGGTGGCCATCGTGCTGCTGAACGCCGTTGGACGGCTGGTTAACCGGGGGATAGAGACCGACGGTGGTGGCGGCATCGGCCGGGAACACGCCGCCACCGCCGTAGCCGCCGGTGGAGCCGGCAGGCAAAGTCCGGCCGGTTGGCGACACTCCGTTCTTGCTTTGCTTGACGACCTTGACGTCCTTGGCTTTCTCGTTCTTGACAATGGTCTTGGTCTTGTCTGCTACTTTCCTGTGGGGGGGCCTCGCGGCTGCGGTTCTCTGGCAGTGTAGTCCCCCCGTCTTCTCCAAGTTCTGTTTGAGCTTCTCACGGAATGCCGCCCTTCCACTGCGGGGATGCAACGGCGGAGAAAATGGCGAGGAGTATCGGGGGGGGGGGGGGTCGTCGTACGGGAAGACGGTGGTGTAATTTGGGAGTTTTTTTAGTTCATTCTAAAATTTATTGGATTCAGTTTACTGAAGGGCTGCCTTTCTTCTGAAAGAGCGTGCGGACAGATTCCATGTTGTACATGAAGACAGTGGTAGGTGGGACTCACATGGTTGGGGGCTTGTTTGATAGAGGGGCAAGTTTGAGAGTATAAAACACTCTGTTAATATGCGAACGATTGCGCTCGAGGAGTATGTCCGAATTTATTTGAAACCTTTAGGTCATACTCGGTGGGTTTACGTTTGTGTCTCATCTCCCCCGCGCGTGAAGGAAAACCGCGGGAAAGAATACGGTAGAACAGCCTATTTCAGGAGATGGAGGTGCGTGAACACATGTCGTGTGGGACACACAACAATCTAGAAGCTGTGCACGGGGAAGAAGACCAACACTTCGGAAACGAGCTCATCGTTCTCTCTCTCTCTCTCTCTCTCTCTCTTCACCTGGCCATCTCGATGGCCGCCACGGATGCACCAACGGGTGGCCTCCCGCGCGGCGCCGACGTGACGGTGACCTCCATGCCCTGAGGATTCTGTATAGGGAACAAATAGGGCGAAAAGAGGAAATGATTAACGGGGGATAGACGGCGGGGGTGGGGGTACTCAAGAAGGCCGGGACGGAGAACACCGAGATTTCGGTAGCTGTCTCAACGCCGGGCGTGGCGGAAGAGGGTTGGGACGTTGAATTTCATGGGGCCTTCCCTTTGAGAGAAAATGAAGACGTTGCGTTTGTTACACCATGGAACAGCGGCTCATGGCTCTGACACACGGTCCAGCCGGAACAAAATATTTTCTTAGACAATCAATCGGACAACCTAGCCGCCGACACCAAAACAAATGACCGACCGCCGTTCGTTCGAGGCTTCCTCGCTCGTCATAACACATTTTTTGCGTGAACGGTTTTGCCATGCAATGAAGAATCGAAAGGAGATACTACTGCATCTTGTGCCAGTTGGTAGGGAAGAGAATTCCTCACCTGTTGGCGAAGCGTCGGGTCTTGGGGTCTCCCGGAGTCTTTGAGAACCGCCTGGGCCGCTTCTTGCGCGCACGCCATGTACCGCTCCAGCTCTAGCATCCGGTGCACCCCCCCGTGGTGTACAAACACGCGTCGTGGACAATGAGAGATGAAGTTGTCAAGCAAGGGATGATTGTATCGGCCACGAGGAAAGCGAAGAAAACAATTTTATTTGTGGGTAGGAAATTGCTTTCTGTCGGTGTACGGTTTTGATGCGGTTCGTTCTGGGGCGTGTGCCATGCGGTGATAGAGCCAGACAACCCTGGCGAGTGTGAGGGGGGGGGAGTGGGAGGCAAGGAAGTGGTAGCGCTAAGGTGCAAGAAAAGGAAAAGGTGGGCGATCGAGGAAGAGAGAGAACAGATGTGACCGTACACTTGACCTCGGCATAAGCCTGGGTCTCAACGAGAAGCGTTTTGGTCGCTTCTGCGTGGTGGCAAACCCAACGTTCGGTACCTCCATGCGTGTTTGCCCGCTGAAACCAACAAGTGCCAAGAGCAAAGGGAAATGAAGCGGGCAAAGATAGTCTGTCCATTCACGCAGTCACATATTCGGGATTGCTGCCCCAAAGGCTACAGGGTGTAGAGGTAATTTCAGCGGAGCATGGCTAGAGCACGGGACACGCACCCTTTTGGGAACCTCAACAAGTCTGTGTCATTGGAGAACTTCCTTACCCGCCAGACCGGTGGCCTTTCGCGGGCGTCCCTTCTTTCGACACGCCGTAGCTCCCTTCTCCGTGTTGAGCCCCCCTTTACTCTTTCCTCCGTTTTTGCCGTCCCTCTCCTTTGCTCCGGCACCAGCACCGGTACCAGCACCAGTAGCACCGGCAACAGCACCGCCACCGGCATCAGTACCGAAAGAAGGATTGCCGCCGAGAACGCCACCCGGAGCAGGCCACCAACCACTACCATGGCACTCGACAACACCGGTGGCAGGGGCGGCGGCGACGGCGACGGCGGCAGGGGCGGCAGGGGCGGCAGGGGCGGCAGGAGCAGCAATAGCAGAACCAGAAGCAATGGCAGCACTAGAAGCAGCAGCAATCGCAGCACCAGACGTAGCAGCAATCGCGGCCGCAGCCGCCGCCGCACTAACGCTGGCGCCAAGAGCAGCCGTAGTTGAGACGCCACCGCCCCCCCTCATCCCTCCCGGGAAGATTCCGTAGCGGGGACCAGAAGGAAGCAACGATGACAAGGCTGCGGAGACGGGGGTGGTTGCGACTGCGGCTGTGGCAGGTGACGCCGATGGCTGGGGTGATGATGTTGACGATCTTCTCCGCGATGGCGTTGGCGGAGGTGGTGGCTTGGTTCCACCATGAACTTCACGAGTCAACCGACGAACGTTGCGCCGCATAAACGAGTACCTGGTTTCGGATTTTGTTTTGCCGGGCGAAAGGGTGTGCAGGGGAAGGGGGTAAGGTAGGGTGCACGGAAAAAACGTTATCAAACACTTGCTTCCGGGCAGGAGACCTGCTTTGAACCCAGCCCTTCGGGGTCCTTGGGATGTGTGTTCTTCGCCGTACAAAGAGATGCGGAATTTGAGTGTTTGTTGGGAATAGGTCCACATGTTGACACGGGGTGTCACTTAAAAAAGAGAGCTGGTTTGTCGAATAAAGTAAGATAAATTCGCCACGGTCATGAGAAAATCATGCAAATGAAACTGTATATCGCACCTCATGCATCAAACTCACCAGTGGTTCTTCACTTGGTTGTCCGTCCGCCCGGGCAGAAGCTTGGCGATCTCGGACCAGCGGTTTCCGAGCTTTGCCCTGGCCTCGGCCATGATGCGCTCCTCGTCCGGCGTCCAGGCGTTCTTCTTGATCGAAGGGTCTGCGCGAAACAGTTGCGGTCAGCGTGAGTGAGCTTGGTTGACATTATCTTGCTTATGGGATGGTCAGCAGTACATGGTCGGTGGGTAGCAACGTGGAGGCACCGGGCGGAGTAAAGAGGTAGGAGGACCGGCCCTTTGTGGAACGCAAGAGTCCCGTTGACACAAGGGCATTCTCGTGATTCGTGCGGTAGTCGTAGACGACTTCAGCAGCGTTCTTGCAAGGGCGCTCAACGTCCGGTTCAATCTACGAACAGGTATAATTATGTTGCACCGCAGTATCGGAATATCGAGCCAATTCTTCATATTTGTTGGTGAACATGAGGGTATAAGGCGGATAATTTTTCTTTTGGTTGATGGGCACTCCTCTGCGTATTTTTCACGTCGCAACCGGCAGCGGGCAAGACACCAGTATTGCTCCCGTGTTTTTTCTTGAGAGACGTTTCTCGATAGTAAATACGGCCTACGCCATAGCAATTGGCCTCAAGTGGCGACAGTACGTAGACACACATGTCAGCCTAAACATTAAATAGGTTTTCGTGCACGCCGCAACACAAGGTCGTGAAACATGCTGTCTGCAGCAGCAAAGCATCCATCAATCTCTGCTGTTTCTTTGTTGTTGACATCTCTGCGATTATTGACAACTTGCGATGCTTTCATTCGCATGCTTCCTAAGCGCGTGCTTACTTAGGTGGTTGTGCCAGCGCTCCCTGCTCTGCTTCCCGGACCTCCCGTAGATGCCGTACACGGAGATCATGTTCTGCTCCACCACCGCCCAGTTTTTCGTTCCGTGTGTCGCCACGAGCTCCCTCACGGCGTTGTCGTCATGCTTGGTCCACGGCCGCCGGCTTCACATCATCAATCCAGTCGCAAGAAGGCGGGGGGAGAGGGGGGGGGGGTACTCATGTTGTGGGTGCCTTAGCGGCCAGACCGTTCACCTCGCGTCAAGAGGACGGAGCATTGTTTCCACAGGATGGATCACCGGTGACCAATCGTTCCCTCCTACTTTGCCAACGGTGACTTCAAACTGCCTCCCTCTCCTCTCTATCCTACCGGTATCGCTTCTCGTCTTTTTGAGCCCACTTCCTATGCCCCAGTATAGCTGCCGTCTTCTCCTGACTACAGTATTCCAACAACATCAACATCGAACATGTCAAGATTGACAGCGGCAGCACCACCAGCACTACCACCAGCAACACCAGCAACAAAAATAATCCACATGTACACGCCACCGTCCTTGATAGCTACCAAAAGCCCTGAACACAACAACAGCAAGTACCTGTGTAGCTGTGCAAAACGGAGCTATTGGAGTCGCCTACCGCGCTCCCCGCACGTTACGTAGCCGGTGACGTCTTCCAACAACAGTGAGGGTTCGATTTTGTACATGGTGCCAAGCACGAAATCGCCATCAGGAGTATTTGTCGACATTCCCGCCGCATGACCAAACCATAGCATTGAGTACCGCACAACACCCGCCCGCTAGGAGTAAGAAGGACCGTCAATTCGGGTCGAGGCTCAGGTTCTTATTTCTTCGCTCTCATCGAGGATAGACTACTGTAAATGATGGCGTTGTGTTTGTAGGGTCCACCGCTGAGCTGTGTATCTTAGTTCCAACTTACGTGAAGAAAGGCCTACGGTAGTCTACACTACAACCTCCACCTAAATGTTTCTCACGATGTACAAACTGTTAGAAACATGCTGAACACTGCTGGCGCCATCAGGCCGGTATTTCTGTGCTTCAGAGCCCTTTGTAAGTGGACAACCCGAGGCATGCGGAAGGATGAGTAGCAAACACGGTTTGCTTTTTGCGGCGGACAGAACAAATTCATTCTTCGGGGAGGGCAGGAGAGCAAAAAAGACGGCGGGTTGAAGGAACTTTGACGTCATGTACTGTTCGATGTGTGCAGCTCTACAGCAGTAGGTGAAAGCACGGCGAATGCAGACAGATATGGGCAGACCGGGCACAATGTACCCGTGAACAGCGTATCGATATGGCTACCGGTCGCTCTCAGCGCTAGAGAGCACGTTATTAACGGTCAATAGAGCAGGATTCCTACCTGTCGGTCCTGGTGACTGCGGCGGCGGGTCGGAGTGGACGCTCGTCCACGGGGGGCACAATCATCGGAGGCTGTCCAACAGGGGTGTTGTTGCTGGTGCTAGCGATACTGCTGCCATCGGTGATATCGCCTTTGGTGTCACACGCCTCGCTCGTCTGGAACAATCCACCTCCGGGGATCATGACGCTCGTACTGCTGCTGGTCTTCTTGTTATGATCGGTGATTGCAGGTATTTCGCTTCCGACACCGTTCGAACTGCTGTGCATCGGTGACGCGGCGTGCGGCCGCGGCGGCGCCGCTGCTTCTTGCATGTCCTACCGGCAGGGCTGCTCTCTGCCAAACCGGAAAGAACTAAGACTCCAGTAGATATGAACCTCCCGCGGTCCACAAGCGTGGGCTTGTAGGATGAGACGATTCTCGGCGAGCCAGGCCCTACGACGGCGTGAGGCACAACCCGTCGCACGGCCGCTTGGCACAACTACTGCTGTGTACAGGGTGTAGTCACGGGAGAAACAGGTACGTTGGAAGCTCTTACGCCCTAACGCGGATAAGCTCGGCAATTGCCGTAGTCACAGCCGCGGTATGCTGCTACACGTCAGGAACTGGCTACGCGTGCAGAGTGGTGGAGATCAGATCAAGATGGTAAAAAAGATCCCGTGCCGACTTCGTCGTCGTCGAGAAATAGATCCGCGCCAAAAGTCAACTTTGACAGTTACAAATTCGTAGGTAGGGGGGGGGGGGGGGGGGCACAGAGATACAGAGATTGACGTTGATGACGAAATTGATTTGCCAGACAGACAGCAGCAGACAGACACAGCGCACACGCAGTAGGGCAGCGGCAATTGTCTCACACAACAGGACATTAGACGTCGCTCCGGTTGGCAAGGGATAGCGAAGGAGGGTGGTAGCAGCTGCATTGAGACTTGGCATCCGACACTGTGCTAGGTCGGTCCCGAGGTACGTACGTTCGGGCTGCCTATAACTTGAACTCCTCGGCGGATTACAGCAATCTGTGTAGAGCTGACACCAACAGCTATGTAGACATCAAGGTCGTGCTTATGGCGCTCACGAGAGGGGAAGAAATTAGCCCCCACATCAACAGCGATTTGCCTTGGTCGTGTGTACGGTACATGGGTGTGTTTTTATGGTGACTTCATGTCTGTGAACAAAACACCGTTGCACGCGTTGTCGACGCGTGCCGCACGATTTTGGAAGTTGCGCCGACTCTCGTCATATCGTGTCACCGCGCGCACCGTATCCATACACCCAGCCTGTCCCACTTTGTGTCTGCGAGACGCGCGGTGAACAAATGCACAGCACGTGTTTATCTCGGTCGACAAGAGTAGGGGACGATGCACTCTCACTCCCGCGCATATCGCGCGAAAAAGGGAGACAAGTCGCTGCTTGAACGCATTTCCGAGGGATGGAGGAAAGTTGATGATCGCAACTCGAAACGGTATGCGCCGTACTTCGTTCGCAGAAGCGGCAGCACGTACGTACTCTAGCATACACGGCGGTACTGCAGCAGTACGTACAGCGGTAGCGAGAGAGCAGGCTGAAGCGCGGGTGCTGCCAAAAGTTCTACCACAATGGGCTTCCGTCCCAGTTTGAGGGCCGTCGTGTAGCCGTGGTATTCAAATTCGTTCCAGCAAAACATTCCTGCGACTACTTGTACAGCAGTAGTACAAAGACTACTGACTGTATTTCTTTACGTATGTATGCCACGTACAGCATTGCACACGCCACCCAACGGTGATAACATCGTTGGGGTGCCAAAGGTATCGTCTCCAGGGTTGTTTGTAGGAGGTAGTTTCTTTGGTGGGTCTATTCTCTTTTTCTGAGAGCTGCAATGTTTTTGGGCTCAAGTTTAGCCGAACAACAACCTTATCAACGCATGTGTCAAGTCTAGTGGGGGGTGGTATCTTCTGTGGATGGTGGGTAATCCTTGTGTGGCATGCGGAATCACCGACACTGCTGTTGCGTGGTATGCATATATGCCACAAATTGTCACAGGTCGCAATATATCTTCCAAAATCACCGCAGTTGTTTATGCTCCGGTCGTTCTACTCCTCTATCATAATGACACAGGTGGTGTCATTTAATTTATACAAGTACCACAGCAGTGCATAGCCTAAAGAGGCATACGCGTGATTGCATCTTGCACCATGGTTGGATATCCTACTGTAACATATGTGCGTTTTGTGCGTTGTAGCTCACGGGGTCACATACCACGACAACAGTATTTTCTTTTTTTTTGCCCCTTTCCGTCGACTACCGGTAGCTTGTGCAATCCTGCAGACTTCGTGCGATTGCATCTATCATGTCACATATGCATACCATGGTAAACTGGTGCGTTCCGGGTATTGTCGCTCATCCATGGTAAGTCAACGCGTTTCGGGTATTGTCCCTCATAGGATTCCTTCTCTGCAGGCGTAAATTACGTTCGATGATGCATGCACTCCGTGCGGACGAAACGCGCCGAACAGCAGCTTTTTTTCGTCCACGGAGGTTGAAATCGTGTTTGCGTGTGCACATGTCGAGAAACGTTCCTGCCGTCACTTCGAAACGCTTGTTCGTACCAGCAGTCGTGGTCCCTCAATAGTGCCATTTGGAATAGGGCCACTGCACTGGGGTACAGCACTAGAGTGGCGGTGAATCTGGTGGGCGGATGGAATATCCACGTTGTTTGGGTGCCGAGTGCCCGGTATACCGTGAATTTTGGCGGGCGCGCACAGGCACTCAAAGTGACCCCGACTGCAGACATACTGCAGTAGCATTAACGTATTGGCACTGCATACATTACCCCTCGCCTGCTTGCTTTTTTCGCGTTCGCTTTCTCGTTGTTCTCCAGACCCCCTTTTTTGCGCCGTACGGCCAGCAGCGACAAGTCGAGAAATCGTGCCGCACCGCCCGCGCGTTCTTCCATCCCAGTGCCAATTTTGCTGTTCTTTCCATCTGCTTCGACGGAGGCGTTTTGCTCTCACCAGAGGCGTTATTCTTTCATCGGAGGCCGTTTCCCGTTTCCGTAAGCGTTTTTCGTTCATCGGAGACATGTTATTTTTCATCGGAGGCGTGTGGGAAGGCGTTTTTTTTTTCACATCGGAGGCGCTTTTTCTTTCTCGTAGGAGGCAAGGATGGCGACGACGAAGCCAAGCTCGACGGCCGGCGAGGGTGGAGGGCGAGGAACAGGGGTGGAAAAGCGATGGCACCCTGCTTCCACACGCCATTCTGGACCTGGTACAACCCCTTACCGCCGTGAGGCTGTGGATGACTCTGATGCTGGCGGAGAAGGGTCTACGAAGATATTTTCGCACATCTCGAAGGGGGGTCGATTTTCCGGTGAGTACCCGTGGAATTCGTCGTCTCTCAAGCTGGCTGAGTCGGCCAAGCCATGAGAGTGGTTCATCGCGTTGGCTGAGTTGGGATACCCATGGCGGTCGTTCCTCACGGTGGCAGATACGGTAAAGGCATGGAATCCATTCCTCGTACTAACTGCGGGGGTTCGCCGTATCATGTCTCGCCTTGGCTACGTTGGAATGGTAAAACCATCGAACTCTCGTTCCGTGTATCGCTAGGTCCGGAGTCTGTGCAACCCGTGACAAGAGCTCTGTCAGCGCCCGGGGGGCGTTGGAAGTGTTGTTGGCTTGTGAGAGCGGCGGGGGTGCAAAGGATGTTTTCCCACTTCCGATAGGAGCTCTTGCGTCGGAGAGAATGCTGCACAGCAGCAACGTAAATACTGCGAATATGTAACGGATAATGGAATAGGGTGGTGATGATGACAACGATGATATAAAACAGAATGACAGGCTAGCCTTGGGCAAAAAACGCCGGTGTAGATCAGTACCTCAAACACCCGGGGCGTTAAGGCTACGCCAGGTGCCTCACAAAAAAGATAAGAGGGAATGGAGATTCGGAAACGATACAATCTGAACCTAGATTGAGGAGTTTTTTTGACAGAAACAGCTCTGTACGGGGAGGATATAAAAAAGACAGAAAAATCGTCTTTTCGGTAAAGTCTTGGGCCGTAGATCGAAAATCAAACTGTGCCCAATTCAAAACCTTTTGCCATGTTTATGGCGAAAGAAAACACCGAGCGAACCAGCTTGATTCGCGAGTAGTCCGTTTGTTGATTGGGGATACAAGCTTGGAGAACGCCGGCAACGCGTCGAAGAACCCAAAGACCCGTCAGTTTGGTCAAATTTCGGGCTGCTGCAAGCGTCTTCGTGCCTACAGTTGACAAGAACATCTCTAGAGTTGTTTCTGGTTACCGGGTGCTGCTGTCAAGGCATGCGACGCCACTCTCACACAAGCTCCGGCACTTTCGAGCGGTGTGGTTGAGCTTGGGCAGCTGCTGAAGCGCACTTTTCTGCGGTTGTTGACCAAATATAATGACCCGCCATCAGCCGTAGTAGAAGCTTGAAGGCTTCCCCGCCGCTCATGCCCTGCTTGAATTGGGTTTGAACCTGCCTTCGCGTTCGTAGTCTGCCTTGCCTCGGTCAGTGAGGTTGGGAGCTTCTGGAGCCGAAGCCCCTGACCTCACCGATGACGGCAGTGTGGACTACGAACCCAAGGGGTAGGTGGAAGTAACCCAAGCAAGACGTGAGCAGAGGAAAAGCCTTCAAGCTTCTTCTACGACTCATGGCGGGCAAACGACCTCTGCGGGAGGATTGTGTTGGAGGTACAGCACGTTGGATGTACAGCATATCCACTGATGTATTCTATTTTTCTTCAGCACTGACTTGTAGCATATATAGTGGATTGTGTACATCCAACAGATTGTGTTCATATCGCAACATTGGAAGCAGCTCGATCTCGCGCTACAAGACCATACTCATAGACTACGCCGCACGACGGGTTGCTCAAGCTGGTTTGATTTCTCCAAAAATATGTATGCATACGGGTTTGTGTCTCCTAGGACTTAGCGGGAAAGGGGAGAATATGGAGTGTACAGTATTCGGCGGGAGCACCGTCCGTGTCTTTTTTTCACCTAGCACTTTTTTACTTCGGCTTCTCCAGCAGCGCTCCGACGGGCGGGATTTGGTGTGCAACTGTTGTTTTATCCGCAGCAGCACATACCAGTGCGTTTCGGGTGGGTGCGCCCCGGGATTCATGTCCACCGCTGGAACAACCACGGTGCATTTTTTATTTTTTTATTTTTGGAGTTTGCTTTCGCGCACGGGTGCGTACGCGTGGTGTACACCTCCCCAAGCATACCCCGCGCCACGGTCGATGTTGAAGCAGGGTGCCGGAGGACGCGCGTCCGTCTTCGAAGCCGGCCACGCCTGCCTCTGAAATTTCGAGTGCACCACTCCAGAAAATCATACTTTACGCAACGCTCGTTCCTCATTTGATAAGCGCGAGCATGCCAACAGGGAATCACAGGTTTTTAGAGCGGGTAGTGCTCAAGTTCCACCATTCGAACCCTGAATTTCTTTACCACCTGTTTTCGTGAAGGCGGTGGCGCGTTCTTCACGGAAACATGTAGCCGCCGGTAGCGCCAAGCCCAACAGAGCCAATTTGTCCAAAGCATGGTGTTTCTGTCATGCTGCTGTAGTGCCTAACGCACACGTTATGCTCTTGGTGGTGCGTCAAAATATTCAGATCGTGGAGAGCGAGAGGGAACGTCGATCGTCCTTCTCCCGGAAGCCGGCCCTGGTTGCCGAGCCTTGGTTCCCTACACTGCAAGCCCGGCGAGGTCAAGACTGCCGCTTCCAGCCCACCCTCCCCTGCTGGCGTTGCCGCCCTCGCTAGGGTGTGACGCTCCTTCTCTGTATTCGTCGTGTTCTCTGTCCTCCTGTAACAGCTCTTCTTCCTCTCCCAACGGCTCTTTCAAGGGGGGTGCGGCTCGCCGTGTGGACATCCCGCTCGAGGTGTTTCCCATCGCTTTCCAGGCAAGGGGTTCCGCCGTTTGACGTTAGGGGTACCGTCGTTCGAATGTTCTTTATAATTTTTTTGTGGATGGTCCGCTCTCTTCGCGTTGTTTCCGTCTGCCTCGTTTTTTTCTTCCAAAGAAAATCGAGCGAGGACCCGCCCCCGCCCCCCTCCAACTTGTGCGAATACGCGTAACCCCCGTGCCCGCCCGCTTCGCCAGCATTCTGCGGAGCATAGCTATGTTTCCCCGGTTCGTTTACCCCCAAGCCAACTCTGCTCCCCCACCCGTCCCTCCCGCCACCCGCACCCTCTGCTGCTGCATGCGCTGGACGTGGCTCATGCAAATGCAAAAAAAAACGTGCTGTTCCCACCAAACAACCGACATGAATCTGAACGACCACGGCAAATCAGTACATGGACGCGTTGACCTTGTGCACGGTGTCGAGCGTCTCTCGAGAGTGGAAAAAGCAGGGGAATGACGATCAGTACTGGAGACACCTGTGCCGTGCTAGGTGAGATGAAAGAGGGCTGCCGCTGCGAGGTTCTCGTGCGAACGTGGGATTCAAAAACAACGGCGTTTGTTGCTGGAATTTCTCTTGATCGTTCGCCGTTCCTCCCGGGTGGTGTTGTGCACCGGAGACGCCTGTATCACCCCGCCCCGAGAGGCGTATGCTCTGACGCTATCCGAGGTTTGCATGGGAGTGGAGTATTTTGGGTTGTTTCGGGATATAGTGTGTGCTGTTCTCGTCTTCTCGAGGAGCACGGTGCCTCACGAGGCGCGCCAGTGACGTAGTCTCACTCGCACATACATGGTGAAATGAAGCTGCACGGGAAAGGCATACCTATCTACTTTTGGATGGGATAAAAGTCGATACATTGCGCGGCGTTCGAGTAGACATGTTGTGTGCAGCTGCCTGGTCGACCCAACAATACTCATCACTGGCTACACTCCCCAGTCCACTTATACCGCCACGTTTCCGGGAAACCGGGTCCGTCGACAACGCTGCTCTCTCGGCATAAAACGCCGTGGTCATGCGGTTCTCCGATTCGTCGAACCTTCCGGCGTTCTTCCGTGATATTTTCCGGGGATCAGGTTCAATGTGATCCCCGACGCCTTCGCTCCCCCTCCGGACCCCATCAAGCGGCTCTACCAGCTCCAGCACGGGTCGTTTAAAGCCATGTGTAGAGGTGAGATGGAGAGGCCATGTGTAGAGGCGGGGGGGGGGGGCGGAAGCACGGGGAGGCAGGGACAGGGAGAGAGAGAGAGAGAGAGAGAGAGAGAGAGAGAGAGAGAGAGAGAGAGAGAGGGAGGCACGCGCCGAGACAGAGAGAGAAGAGAGAGGAGAGAGATAGACTGACGAGAGAGAAGTCCAAGGGCCATTGTTTTCATGTAGATAGCGGCGTATCCGATTGGACGTTTGGATGTGGAGGAAGACGATGTCATGTTTTGAGTGTAGGCGTACATTCCCCCTGGTTCATCAAGGTACGCTGCTTGATCCACAGAGTTTTTTTTTCCTTGCGAACACCAGCTGTAAGCGTGTCTTCCTCTTCTCAACGGCTGTGTACAGAACGGCCCTGTGATAAAGAAACATCAACACTCGAAGATCGATATCTTACTGTTTCGTCGCCAACGTTTAGCACACGTTATTGTGTGCTACCAGAATGTACCGGTGTAGGATCCACCGCGGAGCTATGTTAAGTCCATTTTCTTAGTTTTCGTAATAAAGTGAGCAGCTACACATGGATGTCATCGCCCAATACCGAAAATTCCAAAAAAAAAACACCCGACCATCACACGTATATGCATACGAACGTCCACATGTCCAGATTGAAAATGCTGATGAGAACAAACTCGTGCACTGCTGTTCACATCTTTGGTTACATCATCATTGATTTATAAGTTTCATCTTATTAACAACGGGGTAGTCCTTATCTGTTCGCTCGCTCAATACTGCGGAAGGTGCTTGTTATATTTTGCTGGCACGATATCTTGTCGAAGATCACATAATGTTGCCCACCTCGGTCACATCTCATGTTATCTCATGTTCTGAATTGATTGATGGACGGGAAGTATTAAACATGCTCTGATTCCACGGCGCGTAACGTCGGCGATGTGAGTCAAGCCACGCGTGGTGAATACTCGAGGACACCCGGCAACTGTCTTCGGAGCGCGGGGTCCAGCCACTCTTGTTTCTTGCAGAAGCAATGTGGTCCTTGCTACATTCAGGACTTCGCCAAACCATCATGTTCAAAGCACCAGCCTGTTGCAAATCTGGACTACTAACACCCGTTGACCTCAACAGCGGCACCGCAGGTTGCGCAAATCGCACACACGGGGTATCTCATTAGCTTGGGCCGGTCCTACTCCGTAGCTTGTCCAACAGCTTGCGCGTTGCGCGGTGACCGACCTGACTCACGCCGTTTGTGACACTGCTGTTACTCTCTCTCTCTCTCTCAGCCATTCACCTTGTTTTCTTTTCTTTTTTTTGCTGTTTGCACCCCCTATCGTGCCAACCCTCTCGTCGTCGAAAACGAAGGAGACCGTCGGCATGGGCTCCATTCCGGCGCCCCCCCGGTCATCCCTAGGCACACGTCAGCGCAGCTGCTGGTGGGACTCTTGGCGTCCAACATTGCGTAAAACAATGTCGAAAGACTGCCCGTGGACCCTGAATACGTCGCTCAAATTCTTGTGTATAGTGGAAGAAGCGATGATTGATCGGTGGTGGGAGAAGGTGGTTGCGGGTCTTTACCTGGGTACCAAAGTCGTAGTTGTGGGTCTCCCTGTGTGTTCAAACTATAATAGAGAAGACTCATGACGGCGTGCCCACGATTTGTGTGTGAAAAATTGTGTCGGAGAGAGAGAGAGAGTGAAGAGAGAGAGAAGAGAGAAAGAGAGAAAGAGAGAAAGAGAGAGAGAGAGAGAGAGAGAGAGAGAGAGAGAGAGAGAGAGAGAGAGAGAGAGAGAGAGAGAGAGAGAGAGAGCACCTGTGTACCGTGCAACTACATGGTGCCTGTTAGAGAGACGTGTTCACGCGTCTCGAGAAGAGTGACACGGGCGAAGGGACAACGCCGGCGTGACCCCTCCCGCTCTGCTGGCTGCTTGTGTCACCACCCCTCCAGTATCATACATGTAAGAGCGTGTTCTCGGGTTCCTTCCATTCGTGTCCTCCTGTAGAGCTGTGGTGTGTGCCTAATTTTTGTTTTAGTTGTTTGCGGAAATATCATCATGTGTACGGAAACACACGCACGCATGAGTTCCAGTGATGAGTGTGCCCCACGTGTGTGTGTTCAGCGTTTCCTACGGAGTTTGGGGCGGAACGGGAGATCATGTTTTTTATGCTACAGCAGTAGTCGCTTCTCGAGTGTTCTCAAAGAAGTTACACCAAGGAATTTTTGTTTTTTGTTCGCGTGGAGAAATTCCCCATGTATATCAAAAGCATGTAGCACGTGGTTATTCAGTGCTCAAGCTGTGTAATACGATAGCGATGATAGTACATATGCATAGCAGCAGCATTTTGGGGCGGGAGAGCGGAAGAATTAGGCTGCTTGTCCCTTCTCGAGTGTTTTCGCAGGAGCCCCAACCCTGGGCTCACGTCTTGTAGCTTGTAAAACCGGTGTTTTCCCACGCTTTGTGGACACTGGAAGAAGTGTAGGGAGTGTCACGCGTTGTAGGTATGCGTGTTCGCGTTCAGAGAGCGCGGTCGCACGGGAGAGGGGTACGGGAGGAAGGCCAAACCACATAGTTTTTCTCCTTCCGGTATTATGAAGGGCGGTCGGTGGTAAAGGGCTGTCTGCTGTGTTTCGCGCAAGACAGTATTCTGCCTGGAGGCCACACTTTAGCTTTTGCAGGGAGAGCATCCATTGCCCCAGAACCCCCCTGGCAAGGAAGGGAAAGACTCTTCGTGTTGTTATTTCTCCTCCACAGTAGGTTGGTATGTCTTCCATTGTTTTCCAAAGGCTTATCAGTAGATACACAGCGTTCAGGTAAGCTCGTCTACATGGGGGGGGGGGTCCGGTGTTTGGCGGCTATTTGTGAATGGGTGTTGTCTCTGTTTTTGTATGTAGCGTGCCTGATTGCTGGCCTATTGTTCCGCGTAAGGTCGTTCGTTCCTCATGTCCCGAGTTGTAAGGACGGCTTTGGAGATGGATGTCCTTGCGTTTACATCGGAACTGGTAGAACAGCAACAACAACAACGACGACGACATGCAAGAAGTGACTCAACTGAGGTAGGTGTCGTACGAACTGCTAGCGATGCAGGAGAGAGGGGCGCCCGGCAGAGTTCCTTGGGACGCGAAAAAGGTAGAATCGGGTATCATCGTAGGCGTCAGCTCTCTAAACCCCTTAGTCTATTGGTCGGCCCCGATTCTCGCCGACGGTGATCGGTTCAGCATATCCCATTTTCATTTTACCGTCGCCCATGCTACAGTTCTGGCCACACTCTTCTTGATGGAGACGTCCGGACTTCGCACACAGTGCTCTCGTCTCATCACCTGCTTCACGAGAGGTGTGCAGTTGATTGAGCCTTGTCGGCGTCAAAATGCTGATGTTATAGGTGCAGTTTACAAAAGTTAAAAAAAAATCCAACACATGTGCACCACGGAGTGGCATGTTTTCTCGCCTTCGAACTGTACGGACAGCGCCCCCCCCCCCCCCGGCAAAATCCTCCCCCCTGTGGAGTCCCAAATTAAGACACCCCCCCCGTCCAAAAATTGGCAGCCCCCAAAAAACCAAAACAAAACCCGCAAGGGGTTTTTCCCAAAAAATTTTGACATTGCACAAAATCCTGATCCCCAAAAGGGGTTGGACCAAAATTGCCCCCCGGGCTTGGGGGAAAAATAACAAAAAAATGTTTTTTAATCCCCCGGGCCAACAAAGGCACACCAAAAAATCCCCCTTCGCGCCGCTTGGGGGCCCTCCCGAATGGCAACTACAACACCTCACCAGTTGTATTTTCCCCCCCCGGGGGGGGGGTAACCAAAATCAACAACTCCTTTTTTTCCGGAAGGAAGAAACTGGGAAGGGGTGGCCCGAGTACCTGCGCTTCTCGGCCATGACATCCGGCCCAAAACATTAAATCTCCTTTTTCCCCCCCCGGTCCCCGCAGAAAAAAACAAAAAAAA